TTCTACTTATTATTATAAGTGATTTCCGTTTCTTTGCTTTCTTCATTTTAAAGATAATCAAGCGCTTGCAAGCAGTAGTTGGAGCAAATAATATCACTATCAGCTACTGTATGAGTAAACAAAATTTGAGCCCGAAAATTAGTTCATTTCCAACTCACCTAGTGGCTAGTAGTAGTAGCTACTGCTAGGTACCTAGCTGCGATGTCTTACACATTAACAAGTAATATATAAACGTTTTCGAGCCACACTAAAAAATTCGCGGATTTTAATCAAATAATACTTCATAAAACAACGGGTCGAACAGTACTATTACTGCGCTACAAGGAGACGGCATTTAAAAATAGCCCAACAATTAAACACATTCCGTGAATATGGCTCTCCCATTCCATACCCTACTCTCTTTAACCTGAGTTCAGTTCTTTTTGACGGCCGTGAATTTTTACGGAAAAAGGTTGCGGGTATTTAGGGAGCGGTCATTTAAGTCAATTTTTTATGATTTCTTTAATTTGATGAAGAGACACTAACCCCCGTCAAATATACCCAATTTTTAGGTTTGAGTAAAATTGTATACCCTTAATTTAAAATCATTGAACCTATGAATGGATAATATTGTTGTATTGCCCAGGGGGGAATGCAACGTCAATTAATGTCAATTAATGTCAATTAATGTCAATTAATGTCAATTAATGTCAATTAATGTCAATGTCAGTTTTGCAAAATTTTGGAATACTGACATTAATTGACACGATATTTTTCGACCAGAGATTATGTAGTTCTACCATATTTTTAGCACTTTAGAACGTTTATATCATCAATTTATTCACTACTATCACATATGGAAATGTGAAATGTGAAAAAATTCAGATCATTAAACAATAAAACTAAAATAATACGGTTTTCCGAAATTAAATTTTCTTAAATGGGCGTGGCCATCCAAGGGCGTGGTTCTCAACATCATCAGAACTTAAAACCCACATTAAACGAAATGCCTTCATGTCATTTATATTTGAATAACGAATCTTAAACAGCTAACATTACTCCTTCATACTAAAAAAGCCGATTCTAGATATTTTACCTGTATAAGAAACCAATAAAATATGGGCGTGGCCGGTGGGGACCGAAGATGGAAGAGATCTTACAAACTCTGAAAAACTCTTACAAACTCTGAAAAACTCTTACAAACTCTGAAAAAAACTCTAAATTTGTTCTATTTGCTGATGACACAAATATCTTCGTCGCTGCAAAAAGTAAAAACCTAGCATACAAAAAAGCCAATGAAGTCCTAAGTTCCGTACACCGCTACATGCTTGCCAATAAACTTCACATAAACACTGGCAAGAGCTGTTACCTTGAATTCTCAAACTCTCGATCCAACAAAGATGAAGATACTCCCTCTGATCAAGAAATAAATATCAATGGCATACCTTTGGAGAGAGTACATGAAACTAAATTCTTAGGCGTAACAATCGATGAAGACCTAAACTGGAATGCACATAGAGGTAAATTAGCAAAAAAACTAGCCAGCTGCTGTGGCATGCTAAATAGAATCAAAGATAACATTCCCACATCACTCCACAAAGATCTGTATCACACTCTGTTTGAAAGCTATCTTGCTTATGGTATAACAGTCTGGGGAGGAGCATCTAACAAAAAACTCGAACCTCTGTTCAAAGCACAGAAAATGTGTGCCCGCATAATGTTTGGTGATAAAGAAGCATACTTGGATAAGTTCAAAACTAGTGCCGCGATGCACACCCTATGGGGAGCAAATCCTGGGCAACGAATTCTACAGAAAAGAGCATACTAAACCCCTCTTCAACACTCATGAAATCATGAATGTGCATAATCTGTACTTCTACCACTGTATTAATGACATCTTCAAGGTCTTGAAATATAGAACCCCTATATCACTTTACTCCCTCTTTGAAACATCTGGCAGACTTGGCAAAGAGACACTCATTCTCACACCTAAACCATCAGACAGCTACATATATAGAGCAGGGACAATCTGGAACACAGTACGACAAAATCTCATGCTAACTACATTCACCTGTAAGCCCAATCACCTCAAATCATCCATAAAAATAACCATCGCTCACACTCAAAAGGAAGGAGAACCAAATGACTGGAACTTAGCCTTAAACAGTGTTCGACAAAATTCAAAAACTTTAAAATTGACCTTGCCTAGATTACTTAAGCTTACAAAAGCTGTAATATCTTAGCAAAATATAACTTGCAGCAGCCCCATACCTTGTCATGAACATAATATCGATACTACCTCTGTGATCACATCTTTCTCTGGGTGCAAAATGAATAGATATATATTATATAATAGATTATAGGTTTATCAGTTTTATAGAAATTTGAAAGTTTTATAGAAATTTATTTATATATGGATTATAAACATTTTTGTTTGTGTGTTCTGTGCTATGCATCTTTATACCTATTTTAGAAGAGATTTTTATAGAATATTGAAGTGCAGTAGGGTCAGTTTCAGACGAATTAAGCATAAATGACATCATTGCCATGTCTGAAGTGGTTTGTAAATGGGCCATTGTTAGCCCCAAGCATTTTGGTCCCTCATTCCTGCCACTCAGCATTGCCTACTGTAAAGTAGAAATTTTTCTAAGACAATAGAGAAACTGACCCTGTCTCACTAAATTCTCCTAAATTCAACCACTTACCATAATAAAAATACTAACAACCAAATAAAGTTTTTTAAATAAAGAATATTTCCTCAAGTTTACGTCTAGCTAACCAATTCGTGGTTTAAGCTCTTATTTTATTTATGATTAAAGGAATGTAAAATAAAACTTTTCGTTTCATTGAAAACTTTTCGTTTCATTGAAAACTTTTCGTTTCATTGGAAGCTGAATTTTTTTTGGTGGTCTTTGAACCTAAGGATCAACAGATAAGAACATACTCATAATTATTCAAGGACATTTTGTTTTTTTGAACTTACATATACGTAGACGTGAATATCTTGAATATTTATCGAATAATGATAGTCTCAAATTTCAAGACAAATTAATGTCAATTAATGTCAATTAATGTCAATTAATGTCAATTAATGTCAATTAATGTCAATTAATGTCAATTAATGTCAATTAATGTCAATGTCAGTTTGGGGTTTTCATGGAATACTGACATTAATTGACGTTGCATTCCCCCCATTGCCCATAACCATGATAATTTTCTAACCAAGGAACCGAAATAAAATGAATTCAATGAAAGTTCTCCTGTTAATGGCCGCCTTGGTTGGAGTCTCGGTCGCTATCAAGTGCAAAGTCGGTTTAAACTCCGCTGCCGCTGACGTAGATTGTACCAGTGATGTCGAAATAATGCTTGACGTAAGCAAATTTAAATTAACCCCATAAACATTAATAACAACAGTTATTATAGTACAGTATCTTATTTAATTTAGAACATTAATTAATCATTAGAAATAGTTTCAATGACAATTTATATAATATATATACAATTTTATTGGATAAAACACATTATCTGCACAGGGTTGAAGTATTTGGATTTAAAACATATTCTTGTGGGACCGCGACCGGTTGTGAGGGACTGACAGGCTGTAAAGAATGCAGCACTGAACTCTGCAACTCTGCCATGGGATTCGGATTGGGGACGAACCATCTCCTTATGTTGGCTCTCTTGCAATCTGTCATCTTCTTTTTTGTTCAGTAAAGAGAGGACATTTATTCGTGCTCATTATTCTCAGAGATTGGACTGGCTAAAACATTCTCATCCCATTAGAGACATTTGCTTAACATTACTGGAGGGGTTCTTGAAACAATGCAAATGGACATAGAATTATAGGATATATCGCTTAAATTGTTCCCATAATTAATTTTTAGTTGTGTTATTAATTGCTAATAGTATTATGTACTTTTAGTGAATACAGCTTTCTGAAGAAAAAAAAACCGTTTTTTCATTATCAGTATTTACAACAATTCATCTAGTTTGATCGATTCAAAGGGAAACAAATTCCTCATTTGTCGAATACTATAAATGAGGATTTTGAAACATTTAGTCTCAGTTTATTAATTCTAAGCCATTCATATACAATACGAGCCTCTAGTGATATTATCAAAAAAAATATAGTGCACTGTCATCTGCAAATAAATAAGCAGTAGACTGTTTGCAATTACTACTAAGATCAATAATGAATAAGCTAAAGAGAATTGGGCCTAATATACTACCCTGTGGCACACCTGTGTTGACCGGAAGCAGTGGGCTTACATTACCACGTATTTTGGCGCACTGGTTTCTGCCACCCAGGTAGCTTTCGAACCACTTGATGACAAAGCCATCTACGCCATAAAACTTAAGTTTTTTCAACAGAACCTTATGGCTAACGGTGTCAAAGGCTTTTTTATGTCTAAAAATACAATTGCAGGTTTCTTTAATGATTCTTTAGACATAAATATTTTGTCAAATTTAGCATAAGGAAAGTGGTTGAATGGTCTTTCCTGAATCCATACAGTATACTGATGGTTGGTGAGCAGTTTATTTGTTTCAACGTACTCGGTAAGCTGTTGGTTAACAAAACATTTGATACATTTCCCAAGTAAGGAGAGTATGGATATTGATTATTGGTCGATAATTATTTGGATCATTAGGGTCCTCGTTCTTGAGAATGGGAGTTACTGATGCAATCATACATGCCATCAGCATAATCCCTTTTTTCATGCTTAGATTTACAATATGAGGCATGAGCTACTGGCTCAATAATTTCGGGGATGATATACTTATATACTTTGATGGGCATAATATCATTTATTGATTTATCTGATGGTATACTGAGTACATATTCTTTGACCTGTTCAACAGTTACCTCTTCAAAAAACAGAGAGTTTGCACTCTGTTGGAGGTGGCATATAATCTAGGAAGTTGTCTGAGTTGTAATAAGAAAAAATGGCACTAAAAACGAACCTAACAGAACTGTAGACTAAATCTAAACCCTACACGAACTACAACACAACAGAACATACCAGCGGTAACGAGGTCTACGTCTACAGATGCCCGGTACTCCTCCGTATCACTGTCCTCATCAGGAGACATATCCTCCTGCTCCCTCCTGCTTCCTCCTCCCATTCCTAGGAGTCCATGTCTGTTGAACAGCCCCGCTGAGTTACCGTAACCTGGGGTGGGTTGTTGGGGAATAGCTTGGTTTACAGAACGAGAGTTGTTAAACTAGACCAGGCTGAAATGGTATTTTTTAATTCAATACATTACCACTTTACCAGCCTCTATAACAGTGAGGATACAAATTCTTCATAACATTAGCTATGACTGGCGAGGTGGTCTGGGGCACATACCTGTGTACTTAATCATTCTATTAACGTTGTGTTTGCACAAGTTGAAGAGAAGCTCTGATGTCAGTACTGCTATTGAGTTGTCAATGTGAGTCATCAGCTTCACAACCTAAAACAATTTGTTATAAACTACCACGTCCAAATTGAAGTGAACCCTTGAGGAACCCCAAGGGGATTGTAACTTCAAAACCAACATAAACTCAGACTCCAACATTTTTCGTGGTCAGTTTATCAATGACGATCCCTTTAAAAAGCTGAGGTAGAATACACAGACAATGAAGTGGGAGAAACAATACAAAATCTATCAATACCTTGCTTTTGACAAGATGGGTCTCCTCCTCAGGTCTTTTTGTCACCTTGCCAAGAGGAGGTAAGATCTCTTTCCTAAGGTACTTCCTACAGGATCTTATACAGGATAGTCTGTTTAGGACGGCCAGGATCGACATCATTATCATCTTGTTACCTGAAAGTATTCAATAAAATGGAAAATATTGATAAATATGATCGACCGAATTTTGATTTCTGGCAACATCACAAATATGAAATTCTGATGTAGGAAGCTTTTTTATCTTCAGACTATTGGGAAGCTTCAAACATTGCTTCACCTGATTTACGACCTCCTTCTACTTCAAGTTGCTTTAACAGTCCTTTCGGCAATGACAAATCTCGTCCCATGAACTGCGTTCCTTTGAAACTGCCAGAAATAATCGTAAAATTAAACGTAAATTAATGATCATTGATTGTTATAAGAACAATTACAGAATATTTAATAGTTCACATGTCAGTAACCACACATAACAGAAAAAATTGCGTGGAGATCAAATTTTAGTATTTACAATATTTTTCTTCAAGTAGACAATACATAAAGTTTCCTATCTCAAGGTCACTATTCAAGTTCAACAATCTTATTTTAAGCCTTGTGGATATAGATTGTTGTTGTTATTGTGCAACATGGCCGTACTGACCTAGACAATATTCCATACATTTTACATCCATGTTTTTGATCCATTTTGCAAAAATACGCGATTATTGTACTGCCGTTCTCAGAGAAAAGGCAGTAAGTCATGTCGATGTCATCTTGAGAGAATGAGACAAACGTATTCGTCATTTTTGTGGCGATTTCATTCACATAAACGTGGTTTATTTTGAAATCTATGGGTAAAGAAATTATTATCCTGTGTCTTAAATCTGCCTAAAAACATAAATTCGCCAAAAATGATCTATAAAAACCCTTTTTCTCTAAAATAACTGAACTATTTTCCCTAGCTATTTTCCAAAACGCATCCTTTTCTAAGAAAATTGATGACTTAATGCGTTTTATCAGAGAACAGAATAAATTCTCTCAGAGAAGGGTGTACATTTATGAAATTTCTACCTTAACCCAGAGAAGTTTTGGAATAAGGTGTCAAATTCTCATGTTTTAGATGACTTACTGACTTTTGTGACAGCTAAAACATCATTTTTATAGCCTGTTTCATAGCTTAAGTTGTAGAGAATCTTCTGCTGAAAATTTGGGTACCAATATCTCAAAATTTCAAAATATTTACTTACTGCCTTTTCTCAGTACAGAGAACGGCAGTGTACTGGGAGCATCAAGCATCAATACCCTCTGTCCTCACCTACCGTACTTACCTAGGTTATCTTTTGATAAGTGAATTCAGATCACAAGGACGTGACCTAGGCCTTGGAGAGCCTTGCAGTATTCTAAATTTAGTATTTACACACCAAGAAGAATTAGAAGCTCTGTTACCTCCAAGCTCTTTATCATTGACATTATATAGTATATTACACAGTTCACACTTAGACGGTACCATTAGTCACTAACGGGCACGTCCTTTGTTTGCGGTGAGCCTCAAGTACCTGCTTATCGTGTTGTTTTGTAGTCGAGAGCTGTGAGGAAATGCGACGTAGCGACCTACATTGTTAGATCCTTAGTTGCCAAGTTCTTAACTCTTAGGTCATTACCTTAAGATTCGTAACGTTTAGGTCCTTAACTTCAGGTCCTTAACTTTATCACTATCATTTCTTGCTGGCTCCACCTTTAACAAGTAGTTTCTCGCTAGATTATGAAATATCAGATGATATTTGTTTTCTGGCTGATCAGCCGGACAACTGCTCAGTTGACTTCTGGTAAGTGTTTGAGTAATCAATACTCAGCGAAATATACAGTTTCCTTGTTTCTTACTATATAGTAACTACAGAATTTCATGATCCTTAGAAACACCTATGGCAATAATGACGTTTTTTCGAATGACGTGGCCATTGGCCAATCAAAAGTTACCATACCATGGGTTAAAGTGACTTGTTTTCAGGAGCGTTTAAACGGGTGGAATTTCCTATTCCAGCCACAGTTCAGAACTACGTGAGGTATGATGTACCAAACTCAGGAGAAATGACAGCGTTCTCTGTTTCTCTTTGGATATACGACTATCCAAACTCTGACCACAATGGCGTGAAGTTTATCTTCAGTTACAGTACAAATGGCAAAAATGATATTCTTGTAGGACGTGATACTGACAAAAGCATTCTAGCTGTTTACACGCTTAGCAGAGGCTCTAACATACCACTGGGTAAGCTCTCCAGTAATATCTTAACTTTATTTGTCAATAAAATTCAACGAGGACGTTCCTACTAATATGGTGAAACTCAGATTTAAGATTTTATAACTGAAACGAATTTCATCAGATGAGAAGATTGAAAAGTCCACATGGTACCACTTGGTTGTTTGCTGGGACCAAACCGGAGGCCTATCAATGTACAAAGACGGCAATCTGGTGCACTTCGATCAGTCCTACAGTAACGTCTCTGCTATACAATCAGGAGGAATCCTCATCATCGGACAGGTTTGAAAGTGGAACTATTTTGGAACCTTTTTGAAAAGCAAAATTAATAAATATCGTATTGAAATGGTTTTAGGGAATTTTAAATATAAATAGTGTACTAAAATGATCAAACTATTAAATCAGGACCAAGACGACTTAGGGGGCGGTTTTCAGTCGCACCAATCATTTTCTGGAAACCTGAATGAGATAAACTGGCTCAAAAAGAAACTGACAGATAATGAAGTGGCAGAGGTTTTCAAAAGAGGAGTCGGTATGAGGATACCGGAGTCATTGGAAGCTCATCTGATTCTGCAGTGGTCAAACATCTGGAGTCTTTCTTACAACGGAGCAGTGACACTGCGGACAGAGATACAACAAATAGGTAGATTATATAATACAGTGATCTACCGTCTCATGATAAGTAATCCAGTGCTATAATTATTGTTCCAAAACTCAGTTTAGCAGCAAGTGCTTTGGAACAATATAATATAGTAAATTCGTAGACTAAAATTATTGATTTAATTCCTTAGTAATTTCGCACTTCAAGATGATTATCACAGGAGAGGCCACCGCATTTTTCGACATTTACGCATTCGAATTTTGGGAATCGTTGGAAATTTATTCGACATTTTCGCCATCGATAGCGAAAACTAATGGCGAAAATGGCGAAAACATTTCTAAAAAACTCTCACGCGGCCACTAGAATTTATGCTTAAGTTTAACTATGTATATGTGTTGTTAGTAATGATAGTGTTGTTACTTTCACTTGTCACTGTCACTTTCTTTTTAGCTCAGATGATGAATTTAGATACACAAATAAATTGGGAGGGTTTCAACTCGCGGACTCATTTATACTAACAAAATTAAACCATATTCCTCTGATCGGTCTCTCAGATATAGTCAATGAATGTTTGCAAATTCAGGTAACCAAAGACAAAATATTGTTTTGACTTGTGATTATGTGCTTTACTAACGACAAACTTTTGCTGACTGCCAATTACTGTCCCCAAAGCTTTTTCTTATTACTCTGGGGGGGGCCCTACTCTAAACATTTCTATAAAGTAAGTATTTTCATCGTTTAATTACAACCTGAATACTCAAAATACAACTTTACAAATCATTCAGGAAAAAAAACCTAACCTTGTATCCACCTCAGGGATAAACAGTTCGGGGAACTGAGCAGACACGTTAATCATTATAGGCAGGAACTTTGTAATCATAGTCTGATACTTCTCATTCTTCTCCGAGAAGTTTAGCCCATCGTACACACACTTGATCAGGTGGATGAACCGTCTGACGTCACTAGTACAGTCCAGTGTGGTTGTGTTTTTGTCCCAATGTAGTGTCACATTGAACACTGCCATGAACACATCTGGAAGTACAGATTGTACATAATATACTTTATGTTATAGTTGATTTAATGGTTAAAATTAGTACAATTTCTTTGTACTATAGTTGACCGTTTAGCCATTAAAGTATAGCAACCACTGTTATAATTACAAACATTCAGAGGGTCACATTTAACGGACTAATTCTTGTTTTATTGTGTCCTCCTAGTATTATATTTCATCTAATTGACCAAGACATGCTCTGGTTATTGCTGGCTATTACTATATCATGTATCATGACCCAGTTAGAGCGAGTAACATACCTGCTGAGTACTGAATAACACGTACAGAATATAATGGTGTCACTGTATACCTGCACATATCACTAAGTCATCTTCTGAGAGAGTGAGAGAGTTCGGCTTCACAGACCTCTTTTTGCCGAGACATATCTTGGCAGAATGCGGGTCCATGTCGTCATAGATCGTCAGAGCCATTACATTGTAAAGTATGGAAATAGCATTGTGTTCGATAACTCTGGTTCTCATTGGCTGTGAAACTGCCGTGAACAAGAAGGCCATCTTGCAGCTTATCAGCCGCCTTTCGTTGTCCTGAAAGAGAGCATATTTGCTTAATATAATTCTATACTACAAGAGTAAATAATATACTCGCGTGCGCTAGCTCCGATTAAGTAAATTTAAGTGCGCGCGTTCCAAAAGATACAGAATCACGCCGACACAAGTATTTCCCAGCTTTTCGATTACTCAGCTAAGTAGTTCTGGTAGCACCGGCACGTGCTCACCCCGACATGAACATGATCAATGACCTCTGCTAGAAGATGTAGCAACTAAATTAATTACACTGTATTTACGACCTGTGTATATTTCGCTCCGTGTGTACAGTTAAATCCTGATTAACCGCGCCCCGATTTACTGGTTTACTGCGGCTATTTCTTTCTCCCATATAGGGCTTAACAGCCATAATGTGAACAAAAAAGACTCTGATTTACTGCGAACCCTGATTTACATCTACTGTTGGCTTTCCCTTAAATTCCGCAGTAAATCGGGGTCTTACTGTGCTTTGTGAGCTATGCACCGCTTCTGTGGAATAAAGTCTATTCTCAATCAACCAGCTTAAGTCTTAACAGTTTAAACACTTAAATCAACAGATATCATGAAGAATCATTAAACGAGTGCAATAACATGATTACTGAACCGGCCAACATATCCACTAAAAATCTGGGCGCCATCCTTTTATCTAAGTGATAAAAGAATACAACTCTTGTATTCTTGTACATTACAAGATGAGTATCGCCGGGGGTGATGCAACGTCAATTAATGTCAATTAATGTCAATTAATGTCAATTAATGTCAATTAATGTCAATTAATGTCAATTAATGTCAATTAATGTCAATGTCAGTTTTGCAAAATTTTGGAATACTGACATTAATTGACACGATATTTTTCGACCAGAGATTATGTAGTTCTACCATATTTTTAGCACTTTAGAACGTTTATATCATCAATTTATTCACTACTATCACATATGGAAATGTGAAATGTGAAAAAAATTCAGATCATTAAACAATAAAACTAAAATAATACGGTTTTCCGAAATTTAATTTTCTTAAATGGGCGTGGCCATCCAAGGGCGTGGTTCTCAACATCATCAGAACTTAAAACCCACATTAAATTATTTAAACGAAATGCCTTCATGACATTTATATTTGAATAACGAATCTTAAACAGCTAACATAACTCCTTCATACTAAAAAAGCCGACTCTAGATATTTTACCTGTATAAGAAACCAATAAAATATGGGCGTGGCCGGTGGGGACCGAAGATGGAAAAGTTGGAAGCTGAAATTTTTTTGGTGGTCTTTGAACCTAAGGATCAACAGATAAGAACATACTCATAATTATTCAAGGACATTTTGTTTTTTTGAACCGGTCTAACTTACATAGACGTGAATATCTTGAATATTTATCGAATAATGATAATCTCAAATTTCAAGACAAATTAATGTCAATTAATGTCAATTAATGTCAATTAATGTCAATTAATGTCAATTAATGTCAATGTCAGTTTGGGGTTTTTATGGAATACTGACATTAATTGACGTTGCATCACCCCCGAGTTTCAAAACGCTGAGAAAATAAATGTAAAAAACCTGGAAGAGGCTGTAAGTCTGTAGCTCGTCAAAAAGGTTGAGATCAGCTTGAGCTTCGTAACAGGCAGCCTGACACAAACTGTTGTGGTATGTCGTATTAAAAACGGCTCTTCTTGCTTGTAGACTAACTGCGTTAAATTCACTGTCCTGAAGTGAAGTCTTGCAATTCATTTTAAAGATAATGAGCTGAAAGTTAGCTAAGAGGGCTGAATTTTACGTTGATAGAAATATGCTTTCATGTTTTACTGCTTCTGGGTGTGCTGAAATTTTATGATATCTTAAAATTAGTAAGTGCACCGTTTAAGGATAATATCGTTTGTCAAGATAGTGCAAGACTGAGACCATAAGGATAGCAATAACTATTAGTCTCCTGAACACACTCAACAATAGTTACACCCCAAGAATAAGGGACGAGTTGGACACTATACAATTACCTCATGAATATTGGTGAGTTGGCCCAACTCCAACATCCGAACAAACAACTGGGGAGTCATACATGCGGCCACCTTCTTCAGCTTCACCATCGTCTTACAAAAGAGCAGTAGTTCAGGTTGCAGGGACACTTCGTCTATATTGTCGAATATCAGATCCAGACACGCTGAAATGTGGCATTGTTTTGAACACGTTGTTGATAGAGCTCCAAGAAATTGTCCCAAGAATAAGAAAAATGTTATGTTGTAGTTTATCTTATAGCTTTGTAATATTATAACGTTATGAATCAAACAAATCAACACATAAATCACTGAAACTTACTTTCAATAACAAGAATTGAGTCTCCGTCTGCATTGTAGTTCTCGTAAGTTTGGTTGAACTTTTTAAGGGCAGCGTTCTTGGACTCTAGAGAGCCATCTTGCAGCGCTACTATCACCACTTCCATATTTCTAGTACAGTTTGAGGCATATTAAAGAGGGCGATTGAAGCTTATTTGCTGAAGCGGAGTTTAAAATTGTTATAAAGCAAAGATTTCTTTGATTTTTATCGATATTCAGCTTTAGTTTTAGGCCATATTAAAAAGGCTATTTATAAGCAAACATGTTAGAGCAGAGTTTTCTTCGAAGCTGCATCTAAATTTCAATATTCGTGACTGCTAATATTTGATTATTTGGTATTATATTGAATGTTTTGTGTGTAAGCAATGACAAGGTACAGATTTTAATAGTTAAATAAAAGTAAATATGCACAAATTCTGCAAAACATAAACATTCCATGCAACATAAAATTAAACTTACAAGCATATTTACATGCAAACTGTCAACCGTACAAAATGTGTCAAAATATCCTTTTACCTTGTTCATTGAAATACTAATAAGTGATTAGATAATTTATCCATCTCACTCCAGCCCCGAAATTTGTGTAACTGGAAATAAAAAAGTAAGTAAAACATCGCACTAACATCAAACTAACATAGTAACATCGCACTAACATCGCACTAAACTTTAACTCTCGATGAGAACTCATTTGATACCACTAAGAAATTTGATAAGATTCTCATGCCACAAGTCAGGATTATCAAGGTAGCAGGGGTGAGATCCTTCTGGTATCATTTTCAGGGTAACTTGTGGGATAGCTCCTAGGTACTCTTCAACCTTGGGTTGTTCAGTTGAAATTAGAAGTCGTGAAATGGATACCATCAAATGAAACCTGGCCATAAAAATATCGAAAGTATATACCTCCTAGATATCAATTTCAGAGTTTCATCTACTTTACCCCCATCCCTCAATGAAAAATATAACATTTTAGGGTAAATGCCTCAACACCTACATAGTTCCATGATACTACTGGCTCTACCAGTCGACCGAAAGTTTACTGTACTACTTATGGGCAGCATGTAATACGGTTCCATGGATTATAGATTATTTTGACTTATAGAAAATTCAGAAATTTTAAGTTTGAATTCTAAAGGTTTATCTTACCGTACCTAATATGAATAAAGGATTCTCATTTTGAAAACATAAACGCAATAACTATTATTATTATTAAATCAAGCTTCTAGTTTCGGGATAGCCTGTAGCAGGCAACGCCCGATACTAATGCTTCTACAGACCTACACTGTGCAAGTAAGTAGGTAAATATGTCCTGCTAGGCATGTGGCACTTAATACTTCAATAACTAATAACCATAAATGATTACCCAATTTTGTGTAACTCACCTGTTTTCTGAACTGGTTATCATTCTCACCATAGACCGCCAGAACAGGTAGCTGTAATGCCTGGTACTCGCTCAGTTTGTGTGATGTAATGGAGACAGGAGCAACTGGTACCCACCCTGCCAGTATGGCTGGTTCTGAGAAAACCACTGGTATTGCAAACTCTCCGCTCATTGATGGGGATACTATTACCGTAGACTCTGAAGATTTGGTGCTAATGAGAGGTTAATTTTCATAATTTAATTAATTGATTATATTCGTTTTATAATTGTGGATTAATGAGATTAATTTTAGCTACATTATCATTTATCAGTACTTTTTGGACGGGACAAAATGACAGAAATAAAAAATGCGATTAAGCGAAATTTTAATGATTTTTATTGAATTTGCAAGCTCGATAATACAGCAATTTAAACAAACTCCATAGTAAAATTAAAACGGAGCCGTCTCAAACGTTTTACATCGAGGGATGCTCTTGTTTTTATTTTATTTTTTGTTTTTTAAATTTTTTAAAAAGTTTTAAGTGAGGTTAGCAGTTCCAGATTGAAGTAATAGGATTTTAATTTTTCTAGAATATAGCTTTTATTAACAGCAGGATTTTCATTCCGCGGCCACATCTCATATAATTATATTATTTTCATATAGTAGCTCAGTTGGCTAATCCATCGGACCTGTCAACTGGCCCTGAGGGCTGAAGGGCAGCCGTCAATCTGTCAAATCAGTACCGAAAGGACCTTGGCTGTACTGCAATGGAAAAGGAGATCGGCACTCCTTCCACTTGCTTGCTAGGGTCGCCCCATTCATTCAGTGCTGTGTTTAGCCTTCAATGCACGTATCTTTATCCACGAGGTCATAACTAAAACAACCAAGAAAATTATGAGAATGGATTGTACGACATTACCACAAACTAATATCCTGATCAATGGAGACTTCTTCTCTTTTGGCTTGTGCTTTGCACACTTTAGACCACGTGTCTTTTCGTTTTGACATGTGATATTCAAAGTAGATTGGAAGTTGAACTTCTTGAAGCCATATCCTGGATTACATCTGACTGAGATGTTGCTGCCTGGTAAGTAGAAAGGTAATTTACCTGCAACCTGTCGGTGAGGATCCTTGAACTTGTTTCTCTGACACAAGGCACCGTGCTCCAACGGAAGCAGAACTCTTAGAGCGTTAAGGGGAACATCTGAAGGGATAATGAAGACGAACCTTTCGTCATTCGTTATTGAGAAAAAACAGTCGTTTCCGTTACCTTTAGGATCTTTCGTGCTTGATAATGTGAATTTCGTTCCACTGGTTATTTCAAAGATCTGGTTTTGAGTATCATTTTTACAAGGAGCAACATAAGCCGATGGTCTGCTGAAAAAGACATCTATGCTTACGCTCAAGCACATGCTCAGATTATCTGCTTTAAAGATTTTAATCTCATTTCTGATTTCATCGGCTATTTTCTCAAATAGCCACGGGATAGCCAATGTGCAATCTATCCAGGACAGCTCCGACGACTTCTTGAATCCTAAACACTGCATATTGTCTGCGTTCTTAATTATAACGCCCCCTGATTCATTACTCGATTTAATGGTGTTTTCAATTGATCTACACGGCACCAAAGGACTTCTCTCCAAATTTTTGAAGCAATCAATATCTCCGATCACAAGGGAAGCGGAGTTATTTCCATGCGATGACCAATCATAATACAATGGATAAGCGTCGTAAAGGCTGCAAGCGGATGATTGAACATTGAACGTAAATGAGTGGCAGCTTTTGTGGTACCAACAGTACAACTTGCAAGCATCCATCTTTGGAGCAGAGAAATTGGCGATAGCTTCATCAAACTCAATTTTACAAGATTCGACAGCAGTACAAAAAGTGTAACAGGAATCTAAGTTTGTAGCTGAGTCCGATGACGAGTTGAAATCTCTGCGGGGTTCTATTGATTGGCCGGACATGATAGGAATCATCACAACAAAAACAAACATCTTCTCCTTGGTCAACTTAGCTGCAGTTTTAATAAGTGTTAAACTGTCGAGGTTAAATTATTCTGTGTACAGATTAATATTTTGTTCAAATTTCACAGTTACCATCGTATAAAGTTGAGAATTTGACTAGATGCTAACAACTTTACTGATTTACAGTACCAGACATTAATTTACCAACTCAAACAATGTTTTGCAACTCGCTCTGGAAATTCTGATGATCATAAATTTATTATCAAATTTTAAGCCAAACGAAAATATCCACTAACTTATAAGCACTAAAAATAAGGGTATGTGGTCAAATGAAGAAGGAGAAACAGCAGTGCTTCCAGTCAACAAAGGGTGTTAAAAAGTGAGTCTCACAAAAGGATGAACTATACAAAATACTTCAAAGGGTGATATCGCCATCTTTGGCATTTTCTCCATCGAGAAGGGAATATTTTGTAAGCATTAATTACAGTGGGTGTGGCACGCCGATCCCTCTTTTTCGCTATTGTCGCCATAAAGTGAGAACGCTTTCAGTTAGAAACTTCAAAGTTTCTAGACATGTTTGGTTTGATAATTGAAGTGCTTTCCCAAAACTTCAAGTTGGTTGTTCACAATTTAACCGAGTTATGACCCTTTCAAAATATTGCAGATACGTGATCTTGGCACTTAATCAGTGATTTCGTCACCCAATCAGTAATCTTATCGGGAGCTATTCGCTAGCAAGCAACAATAAGACTCATTAGGCTATAACGAGCATGTTGGTGGATGACGATCTGATCACTTTGAGACTTTGAGAGTTTGAGTGAATACTGATAGTGTCGTTCCTTAAAAAGTTAAAACCGAAGAAATTTGCGTTATAGCGCTTCAATTGCTGTCTTATAAGCAATCTCCAACCCATCAGGGCATTGATTTAGGTAATCGTACTGTAGTGCGACACGTACTCTAGTGCGAAACGTACTCTAGTGCGAAGTCCGACAAAAACACCCTCTGTCGCACTAGGGTACGTGTCGCACTACGATCCAGGTAGCGTACTCTACTGCGACAAAATATCCTGACTTATTTCCAAGTTCAGGTCACATCCTATCCTTCTTATGGACCATTAAGTGATTCGTCGGGTCGGTTCACGTCACTTATTTCGAAGTGATCTTGCGAATACGATTCGTCGGACGTCGGTTCACATCACGTGTTTCGAAGTGATCCACTGATCACAATTCCTTCGGGTCAGCCACGTATGCTGTGTGTGATCCACCGGGTAACTCGTAAGCAGCATATGATCCTCATTCCTATCACACGCATCGTATGAAGGTATATCTCCGATTGGGATAACAAGTTCATATGCTTGGGCCATATATAAGGTCACGATGATTCTACCAAAGCATCGAACAACATCAACATGTCTTCTTCAATCACCTTCATTCCTGGACGCACTACTGCACTGGTTCAAGAAACGTTATCCACGACGGATACCGCTACTGCTCCGGACGTCTCAGTCTGATGAACGACACTACTGTGACCAGACGAAACTACTGTGACTACGAAACACCTAATTGCTGACGCTGTTGGACCCGTCTCCTTCGAAGCCATGTCAAAACTCAACTGCCAGCAGGAATCCCTAGCTAAGATGGCACGCACAGCTCGGACGCGGACGACGACGACAGGAAGGCCATGAGGCATTCTGTTGTTCCCCGCTCTTTGGCTGACCTTGTCCTAACTCCTGACTACATCAGAACGAACAGTGGCGAAAAGTGTTGTCGCACTTTAGTTCGTGTCGCACTACAGTCCAGGTAGCGCACTGTAGTGCGACAGTGTCAGCCTTGAAAATTCTCTGTCGCACTAGGGTACGTGTCGCACTACGATCCAGGTAGCGTACTCTACTGCGACAGTGTCGATCTTGGAGGTTTTGCACTAGGGTACATGTCGCACTAGAGTACGTGTCGCACTACAGTACGTGAACCATTGATTTAATTGATTGAGTGAAGATATCACTGATTAAGTGCTGGATCACGTATTTGCAAGATCATAAAAGGGTCATCACTCGGTTAAATTGTGAACAACCAACTTGAAATTTTGGGATAGCACTTTAATTATCAAGCCAAATGTGTCTAGAAAATTTGAAGTTCCTAGCTAAAAGCTCTCACTTTATGGCGACAATAGTGAAAAAGAGGGAGTGGCGTGACACACCCACTGTAATTAGTTAAATTTGACGAAACTTTCAGGAAATCTAAGTTTGACCCATCTATAATCTGAAATTTCTGTGCAATTCTAAGAAGAATTACGTGAGTTATTAAAGTATTAAAGGGTTGCGTGTGTGGGCAGTTACTTTTGGGCCACCCTGTATATAATATTATATATAATTTATATATATAATATTTATATATATATAATATTTATATATATAATATTTATATATATAATATTATTTATATATAATATTATTATTTATATATAATATTATATAAACTAATTACAACACTACAAATCTATTACATTTATTGAGGACCCCGAACTCAATTTTGATTCTCTACTGACTCTGCTGATCTGCACTGTTTCACTTTGTAAAAGAAGTGCGCAATGATCGGAGAAGGTGGTTTTGATGATGAGGGTAACAGGTCCTCAATCTCGTTACAGGATGATACGCCAAAGAATGACAGGAATGTTAGCGAAGATATGTTATCCCCGCAACGTTTCACACCTATCCTGAACTCATCCACATCCTCTGAAAGTACTCAACAGCGACAAGGTAACACTCTTCAATACCAGTTTGCCTACATCAAAGACGGCACTTGTAACACCTGTAATGATGTTCAAGCTAATGACACTGCTCTTACCTGCTTTTTGTGTAAATCGTCATTTCATGCTGTTTGTCGAGATGCTGATAAAGATAGGATCAATAATGCTGTAATCTGTCCTCGCACTTTCTTCAAAGCATACTCCGACAGAAACGCAACCAAGGGTGTTAACAGTTCCAGATTTGGGACTTTCACGTTTGTGTGTAATGTCTGCAAGACACACTCTGAACAGAACTCCGCAGTCAGTGCCGAAAGTAAAGTCGACCTGATTGACAGGCGAGTAGATAATCTGACCCAATCTATGGAGGACATGAAGGGTTTACTTATGAAAGTTGTGAATATGAAAACATCTCCGGACAAAACTGAAATTTCTTCTCCTCCATCTCCAGCACCAGTTGCCCCTTCATATCGCTCTGTATTAATCATGTCCAGCAAAACACCAGAAAATCAAGCAAAAGATCGCCAAGAAGAAGTTGACAAAATCATCAAAGACAACGCCATTCATGCTGACAAACGGTATGTCAACAAGAAAGGAGACATTGTGGTTGTGTGTCCGACAACAGCTGACAGGGAAAATCTTGTCAAGAAAGTATCCCAGCAACTTCCAGAAATGATAACGCACCAGCCACCAGAACGTTTGCCCACAATCTCTGTTGCTAACCTTGCTGATAATTATTCTGAAGAAGATCTAGAAGACCTGCTCCTTCAAGCTCACCCCAACATTAAGGCATTAAAATCCCAGGGTGAAACATTTTCTGTACTAAAAGTTAAACCTCAGATCAAAAACAGCAGCAAGCATCAAGCTACTATACGAGTTAGTAACAATATCAGGAAAATCATAGAACAACAGGGAGATCGGCTATACATCAGTTCGTTTAGTTGCAAAGTTTATGATCAATTTCATGTAAAACGATGCAACAACTGCCAAGGTTTTGGACACTACAGGTCGGAGTGTGAATCAGAAAAAGCTATTTGTGGTTATTGTTCCAAGAATCATACGTCAGAAGATTGTCCAGAAAAGAAAACTAATAGTCATATTTCATGCTGCATTAACTGCTCTAAGGGCAAGTATCGGGATGAAAGAAACACACACACAGCATTTGATAGGACATGTCCAGCTTATGTTGCTGAACAGCAGCATCTCCGCAAAACTATCAATTACTACAGTTCAAAAAACTTGTAAGCAGTGGTCTGAAATCCTCTCCGGCGGAGATTCTTGGCTGTTGCTGGAATGTGAGATCTCTCAATAATAAGATTCAACCAATCATGGAATCTATAATCGACCAAGGAATCTCTGTCCTTTTTGTCACTGAGACTTGGCTCACCAGCATGAAGAATGATGTTACTGCTATAACTTGATTCACTACATCAGGAAAGACTCCGCTAAATGCAGAGGCGGAGGAGTTGGAATTATTTACAATTCAAGTGATTTGAACCTTACTCCTGTGTTTGATAAGTGTGGAGATACGTTTGAAGCAGTTTTAGGCAAATTTCGAGACTCATCGGGTGATACTGTCCTCTGTGCTTGTGTTTACCGACCAGGGTCATTGACTGATGTATTTTTTGAAGATTTGGATGAGTTTATTGGGAACATATTCATGAAATACAAGAAGTTTTTAATCTGTGGTGATCTTAATATTCATTTGGATGATCATAAATCAAGAAACACGGCCAAACTGACTGAAGTATTGGCCAGCTATGGACTGCATCAATACGTGAGAGATCCAACTCACAACAAAGGACATATTCTGGATGTTGTAATCTCCTCCCATCAGATAGTCAATCCAAAGAGTGTCACAGTAGACTCGCACACCTCGGAAATGTTCCCAAACTGTGACCATTTCCCGGTTACTTTTAGCCTCACAAAAACAGTTGCAAGCAATCTCAACAAGAAAAAAGTTATCACATTCAGAAATGTCAAAGAAATTGACAAAAATTGTTTTGCGGATAATCTTGCTGAGGAATTGGTTACTGTAATGGATCCTGAGGGTCTATCACAAGCTGAAATGCCGTCATTTGAAAGCCGCATCAGCCTATACAACTCTAAGTGCCTAACTGTGCTGAATAACCATGCTCCTCTCCTCACAAAGGAAATCAAAGAACGTAAGTCTGCCCCTTGGTTCGATGGTGAATATAAAGCACTTAGAAGCCAAAGAAGAAAAGCCGAGACAAAGTGGAAAATCTCCGGATCTTTAACTGACAAGAAACACTATGAATCAGTCAGAGAGCAGTGCACAGAACTCTCAGACAGGAAGAAACATGAGTTTTTCAAAGTCGAATTCATAAAGCATTCCTATTCTTCTAAGAGTCTTTTTAGATTTGTGGACACCTTTCTTGATCGGGATAAAAGCATTGTGTTGCCTTCGTCGGAGTCTCTCAAGGACACAGTCGAAAACTTTAACGTATATTTTCAGGAGAAAATAAAGGCAATACGAAATAACTTTGATCATGTGGAGTCTGACGATCAAACGCCCTCTTACTGCGGAGAAAAACTAGCTGAGTTCTCTCCAACTACTCTAGAAGAACTAGAGGAGATAATCAAGGCATCTGAGATCAAGTCTTCTTCAATTGACCCTCTACCTGCAAACATCTTTAAAGAAAACCTTGAGGTTCTACTACCCGTCTTAGTTGACATAGTAAATGCTTCATTATCTTCTGGCAGTATTGATGGCGCTAAACTAGCTCATATCACACCCCTGATCAAGGGCCAGGGATTAGATAGTGATAATCTCAAGAATTACAGACCAATATCTAACCTTAGTTTTGTGGGCAAGTTGATAGAAAGAGTAGTGCTCAGGCGTCTAAATGAACATCTAGAAAACAACAACCTGAACATCCCACAGCAGTCTGGATACAAATCAAAACACAGCACCGAGACTCTGCTTGTGAGAGTTGTTAACGATCTACTCATTGCATCTACAGAAAGCAAGGCAACTGTTGTTCTTCTCCTAGATCTCAGCGCAGCTTTTGATACAGTTGACCACTGCAAACTACCTACTGAACATCCTCAGAAATGAGTTGGGAATAACAGGGACAGCTTGGAAATGGTTCAGCAGCTTCCTCACAGGTAGATGTCAAACGATTAAAGTTGGAAATGAGGAATCTTATGAGATAGTGATTAAGTTTGGAGTCCCACAGGGCTCTGTGCTGGGTCCGGTCCTGTTCAACATCTACATTCGCTCTTTGTACTCAGCAGCACATGATTTGAACTTCTCCATCCAGGGTTACGCCGACGATCATCAGCTGTATAAAAGTTTCAAGCCAAACGAGGAGCCCACCGTCCTTATCAACGATGTTCCCAAATGTTTCCAAGAAATTAATGACTGGATGAAAAAACATTATCTACAGCTCAATGCAGGAAAAACCGAGATTCTTGTCTTTGGGACACCGCTTGTTCTCCAGCAGCTGTCTATAGGGGGCGTGTTTGTTAACTCTGAGACGTGTGTCAGGCTGTCACCTGTTGCAAAGAACCTCGGATTTCGTCTCGACTCTCAACTAAACTTTGGTGAGCAAATCAAGCAACTTAAAACATCGTGTTTTCTGAAACTAAGAGACCTTGCTAAGATGAAAACATTCCTCACAACCAAACAGATGGGAACACTGACTCAAGCAATTGTAATCTCATCGCTTGACTACTGCAATGCACTTTACTATGGTTGTAGTCAAGCCTCAATTACGCAGCTGCAGAACATTCAGAACCGAGCATGCCGTCTGGTTTTTGGATTAAAGAAGAGAGACTCAGTCGAGGAGAAGCTCAAATCCCTTCATTGGCTCAAGGTGAAGGAGAGGATTGAGTTTAAGTTATGCTTACTGATTTTCAAAGCAGTCAATGGTGTTGCTCCTGCATATCTGTGTGATCTAGTAACATTTGTTAGTTCGAGTAGCAGAAGAACTTCCTCCTTACACCTACCCGTCGGATCTACAAGATCACACCCAAGAGCGTTTCAGACTGTTGCTCCGAAAATCTGGAACCAACTACCAATTGAAATTAAGACTTGTTCCAATGTTGATCTGTTCAAAACATTATTGAAAACTCACCTGTTTAAGAAAAGTTATGGCATGAGCGATTAATCGACAATATAATAACTTTATGTTATTTGCTTAAACTGTTTAGGATGCAACCTAATGTCATGATCTTTTTGAACTTATTAGCAATTAGACTGTTAGCTCGCTTCACAAGCATGTCATCTTCGTTCCAAAACTTTTTATGTCCTATGCATACACTCCTTGATAGTTATCTTGATCTAGTATCTTTGTTTCACACAATAGAGCATAAGTTTTGTGGTTTATCCACTGGGCTTAGAGTTTGTGTTTAAGCTACCAAATTTTATTATTATTATTTATTTATTATATTTATTATTATTTATATTTATTATCATTATTTATATTTATTATCATTATTTATATTTATTATCATTATTTATATTTATTATTATTTCTTTACTTATTATTATTTATTTATTACCATTACGATCATATTTGATATTCATATCAAATATTTATATTATAAATATTTATAAAGGAAAGATTATGAATTTATGATTTACGTTGAATGAGGCCACTAAATATTGATATTTATGTGGATCAATGAATTTTGCCCTGGCTGCGGTTTTCTATGATCATATTTCATGTGACACCCATATCTGGGGGGGGGGGAGTAACCCACACGATGCCCATGCCAATATGATCAAATGTTGACGACAAAATGAGCAGATGGGAATGAAAAATGTAAATATTGAAAATCCTTGATTTTCATCAACCTCCCAGCTCTCTCACCAAAAAGCGGAATACAAGTTGTAAAGGTAATACCAATCTCTGCCCATTTGTTTTTATAGTAACTATTATATTTGAGATAAATTGTGATTAGTATTTTGCTTATCACGTTTGTGTTAGGAGTGTTTTGTATTATAATCAGCTGTATCTTTGGTTGGGGTGATGTTTTTTTGATGGGATCAAATTAACTCAAATAATACTATTAGCTTACTACTTGTGACGGCGGACTTTCTACTCCTTTTATAAATCAAAATAACCCCGATTTATCTGTTAACTAAGACACCTTCATAATTATGAATATGAATGTTTAATTCATAATAAATATGATTGTTTATTGTTTAATTACATTGTAGTAATAGACATAGTGAGAATGTAAACCTACCTGAATCAACTTTAGCAATAAACTGTCTGATAAACTGTTCGTGTGATAAGCCCAACATTGGTTCTGAGTCACCATATCCTGGCAGGTCTACAGCAATAGCTCTATAACCTGAAATTGTTCAAAAGTAGAGAGATACTGAACAATACAGTATGGATATCAGATAAAGGTTCTAAAATAAGAGTGGACGTTATATTTGTCGTAAATAATTTTAATGATTGTTGGTAAATTTTTCCTCGTTAAGTTGGGAAGAAGTTGCCACAAAAACAAGTGTATCTCTCGATGAAAGTCAAGTAAAGCGTTTTTTATATGTAACAATGTATAGTGTATGGACACGTTCATTTGAGTTTGAGGATATTGGTAAACAAAAATAATAGCGTTTTCGACGATAGTGGCTTAATTTTGACATCTATTAACCTAGCACGTTCAGAAGTTCTGAACATTAGCCACGTAATCCATACTCCCATATGCACTGCTCAGAAAGAAAATCTGTTGTTGTTAGGCACTATAATGGTTCAAATGTCACATTTTGTGTGACTTAGTTAACTGCAGTTGTCTAATTATCATTTCTTAGTCTGAAATATAGTAGATTAGGTCAATCTAACGATTATGATACAACATTGGTTAAAGGGCACGGATCGAACGGTTACAAGGCAATATTTGGGTAACTTTGTCACACTCAGAATACCATACCTCTATTCTACTGTGAGGTGTCCTCAAAAACCTTTTAACTCATTATTTGATGGTTGATCTACCAATCATAGTCCTAAAATACGTTGTTTCGAATAGTTAGCTAATACAGGCACTTGGTTATTGAGAAATGAGGTTAATTCTGTCACAATATATGGAATTTTAAATTTTGGGCGAATTATTTATATCTGATTTTGGTTTAAAAGGCGGGAAAACTTTACATGATGACAATGTAGTTGATGCAAGTTAAGATCAGTTGATGTTTACATTGTCACAAAAAATGATACGAAATCGTAAATAGGTAAAAAACAATGATTATAGAATAAAATAGTCTCTTATAATAACTCTTATAATGACTGATGTGACAAAGTAAACATGTCTTGCCCCTATTTTGAAGATCTATATATATTCTATGACTCTGATTAGAATTCAACATTCTTTCAGAAAAAAATTGGTAGAATATTGTCCAGAACACAGCTCAAGTTTAACAATTTTAGGTTAAATTTGTCAAAGTCACTAAAAATGTGACAAAATTAACTTTTCCTGCCCCAACAATTTCAAGATAGTGTGTAAAAATTAGCATAGGCTGCTTTATAACCTATATAAATCAATCCAAACTACGAAAAAGATCTGTTAATCTGATGACGATTACCTAACTCTAATAATAACTGATGTGACAAAGTAAACATGTCTTGCCTCAATTTTGAAGATCTATAACTCTATTAGAATTCAACATTCTTTCAGAAACGATTGGTAGAATATTGTCCAGAACATCAGAGCTCAAGTTTAACAATTTTAGATTAATTTGTCAAAGACGCTGAAAATGTGACAAAATTAACTTTCCCTGCCCCAACAATATCAAGATAGTGTGTTAAAATTGGCATAGGATGCTTTATTGCCTATATTAATCGATCCAAACTAAGAAAAAGATCTGTTACTCTGATGACGATTACCTAACTCTTATAATAACTGATGTGACAAAGTAAACATGTCTTGCCCCTATTTTGAAGAGCTATACCTCTATTAGAATACTATGTAACTTTATCATCAATGAACTAGTTATTTTGCCAGCAAGGAGCTAACAGAGTTATAATAATTTTTTTGTGACGAAATTACCCTATTTTTGACCATGTTGCGGTAGTTTAATTGTGACACCGTTAACATATTACCACCCGATAATGATTTATGTGACTGGTGCGTGGTACTAGCAGTGTTGTTTGATCCATAGTACATAATATAAGGGGTTTAAGCTGGTATATCATTATTTGTTCAATTTCACACATGTTCAGATATCATCAAGATTATGTGACAAAGTAAACTTGTTTGTGCCTTCTGTGTTTTAATTCCTTACGACTATATGATATAATAACAATTCCTAGCACTTCCGGGCCATCAAATATACCTACACTACTCAGCATTGCTTATCATTGTGCCCTAAACATTCTTCACATGTTTTCTTAAATGTGTGACAGAGTAAACCTGAGTGCACCATCTAACGAAAAAAGTCGTCAAATATGTAGGTAATGGTCATATGTACCCATCTAATCAACTGGACACTCAAAAATTTGGTCAAAAACGGCAGCAAGGGGTCTATATTTACTCCGTCACATGTTTATAGTGTGACAATGTAACCATTTCCGTGCCTGCCGTATTTAAGCGATATCTTATCACCTGATTAAGATATCGTTGAGTGACAAAGTTAGCATAGAGAATGAGACGATTACCCTAACCATCAAGGATTTGTGTAATTTCATAGTGTGACAAATTCAACTACACTGTGCCTTTTAATAGGGTCACTTATATTTACCAATATCCTCAAACTCAAATGAACGTGTCCGTATACTACATAATATCTAAGTAAATTCTCGTAGTTTAAATTTCTATTTCTTTATCAAATTACCATTTTGAAGTAGAGTGTCTAGCGTTCCCAAAGTTTTCCAGTTTTCTTTGCTGAATCTGGGGCAAATGAATTCGTTTCACTTATGGTTATTGCCTGCCATAAAAGAAAACAAATTGACTTGAAACAGTATTCAAGAAAAGTGGTTAAGTTGGCTCACTGAACACCATCGTAATTATAATTCGAAAGATTCTCTTTGCCTGTCTGTCTGTACGACCGCCCACGTGCAAATCAGATGAGAAATAAGAAGTTAGGTCAAAACCAAAAGGTTGCATAGCAACGGTGTTGTAATGCACACGTACACATGCATAGATTGTTGGAAAGGCATTTTTATCAGTTTAGTGGTAATTACGTTGTGTTTAAAGTGTTTTACATTTAAATCGGCTGTATGTTCGGTTAAGATGAACATTCAAAGAACATTACTGATCACTAGTTTCATCCCTGTTACCACAGGCTTTCTAGTTGTATATATAAGAACTTAATTATCTTGTAATTTTCAAACTGATACAGTACAGTTTGCTGCAAAAAATGTCTTGTAATTCCTGAAACAACTTTATTCATTCCTACTCATAGATCAGATGTCACACCTCATTCCATGAAGCAGTAGCACAGTTAGATGCGAAGAAGCTGGAGAGTAGTCATAGTAAGCAACCTGTTTGAAAGATTGTTTTAGTATGTCTGCACCAAGTCATTTAACTTTTTTCTGGGTTATTGATCAATGGAGGGATCGTTGTTTTACAAAATAACTTTATCTAAATTATAAACAATTCAATTTGTGATGCAAAATTTTAAAATTGAATCTACAACTCAGTTTTATTTTGATCGATTGTATCCAATGTCAGTCAATTGCGAGATTGGAGCTTCTCATCTCAAATTGATTTATCCAGTACTAGAAACCCGCCGCTAGTCGAAAGCTTTGTTCGAGGAAATTTTAAGCATCAGTTATGTTTTAATTTCTCTTCATCATATAGCCCCAAAACAATACTTTTTACCGCATCAAAAAATTTCAATCACAACCAAAGTTATAAATATATATAGGTATATAGCGTCATGAGGGTAAATGTGAGCTAGTTGTGAAATTCTGACGTAGCATACAGCATAACACCGCGCGTTGAAATCCGCTGTAGTCGAAAATTTTATTAAAGGACACTATAAGGGAGCGAATTTATCGTTCGAATTTATCGGTCATCGCTAGTCAATGGTCAAACAATCCAACAAATATGCTTTAGTTCCCGAACCCTGCTTCACTGAAAATATATGAATTACACATTTGAATCATTTCGGTAAATGTCAGGTCCCTCATCGTCTCATTTGATAGATCTGTTCAAATTGAAGTTTTTACGTATGAAAGAATTGTGATAAATAAAAAAGGAAATTTGTGCTGAATGAAATTGGTAAAATGACATAATCTATCAAATGACTTTAGATCCTAAATCAAATAGGTTAATAAATGGATATTTACGTAGGTTGACAAAACGTTAATTCAAAATTATTATCATTATATGAAATTATTATATGAAAATTTATTGCTATGAAAATAAGTAATAGCTAGTTATGAAGACAATCCTTGAACACGGGATTCTGAGAAAAGGAGACAGAAGCAGAGAGAGATAAGGAGAGTTAGAGGGGATTTTGGACGCGACCCTTTCAAGACAGTCAAGGGAGTGCTAAATCCAAGTCCAGTGGGTGAGCTTAAGTGTTCAAAGGAGGAGCTAGATGATCACTTGGCCAGAACGTACGGAGATCCAGCCCGGCAGCAGCCCCTTGGTATACTTGAGGGTCTGCCTGAGTGTGCTCCTGAACCCTCTGTTGCCTTTGACCTCACAACGGTATCCAAGAAGGAGTTTGAGGAGGTTGTAAAGAAGGCAAGGAGCAAGAGTGCCCCGGGTAATAACGGGATCCCGTACACAGTGTACAAGAGATGTCCTGGTATTGCCAAGAATCTCTGGGACCTGCTAAGAACTGGATATAAGTTAGAAGAATATCCTGACAATTGTAGGTATTTCGAGGGTGTCTACATCCCAAAGGCGGATGGTGACTTTTCACCAAGTTCAGGACGGCCTATTTCCCTGGGTAACATTCAAGGGAAGATCTATTTGGCGATCCTGGCGAAGAGGTTGACCAGCTTTGTTGTCTCGAATGGATATGTAGACCTCTCTATACAGAAGGGTGGTGTGCCAGGCGTCCGTGGGTGCACGGAGCATTTTGGTGCCATGTGGGAGGTACTGAAGGAGGCAAAGGTCAAGAAGAAGGATCTAATAAAGTATCTGGTCAAAACCTGGCACAACTTAGCGAGTTTAGAAGGTTTGAGATGTTATTTGTGCTCCCTAGGGTCTCTACTTCAAAAAAAATTTGGGTGGATAATTTTTTATGTTTGTTTAAACCCGTGACCACGCCCTTTTTAAAGCGTGGGAAAATTTTCCCAAAATTATTGAAATTTGCCTATAATATTTGATGGGGGTCTCTAAATGGCTTGATATGATGCCATCAGTATTACTAGAACATAATAAAATAAAATTTGGGTAAATAAAAGTGTAGTGGCACCCTGACCACGCCCATTTACACAATTTTTGGCGGAAAATTCGGAAAATTCGAAGTTGTTCACTCTAGCAGCAGGGAGGTGTTTAGTTTGTATTTAAACTGCTGAATCGAGTTAAATGGGTTATATAAGTAACTTAATTCAATTAATTGGGCATGTTGAGCCATTAGTTTAGCCTTTGGGGAACCACGCCCATATTTCATATTAGGCGCGTATGTGAGAAATTTTTATCTCAGCTTCTGAAGGCCGTAGAAACTTAACTTTGGGCTTAAAATTACCGCAATATGTAAGTTTATATTGACACTATTAAGGTGCTGAAGCTCTCCAGGACTTACTTTTGGATAAAAATGAGAAAAACTGATATAATTTACTGAAGCGCATTAACAAACAAAAAACTTCCCTAGCAGCTAGGTTAAGTCAAGTAGGCAAATCAATGTATAAAGTTTTACTCGACACGGTCGAGTAAAATTCGTAAGGTCTTAAGGTCATTCTGGGCTAGAATAATTTGATTTTGGGTGCCCACGTTTATCAGTAGTCCAACCCTGGCCTAGGTAGTAAAATTTCTACATTGCCCTCAGGCGCAAATATAAGATTTTTCTATCCATCTCAGCTCCTGAATATTGTAGGACTTTCAAGATAACCACAACAGCAGAATGGCCATATTGATATTTATATACAAGCTATGAAGCAGTATGGGGTCTATAGTGCATAGTTTTTGAGATATTTATTTTTAAAACATGATTTTTAAATATATCTTGCGCTTAAAAATACAACAAAGGTTCAACACTACCGCATTTATGTACCAGCACCATCAGCTCATCTTAGAAATCACAAACAACCCGCCGGGCAGCTATCTCTAGTTAAGCTTATTTCAGTACCCGTTGACTATAATATATGCCCACTTTTATGTCAGTACAACCTCATCTAGCAAAGTCCAGCTGAAGCAGGAGGCCGACTTCCAGGTCCCCCCATTATTAGGGGTCCCATGGAGATCAGATCATGTCACTAATCAGTGACGTATAATTAGTGATGTGATCCATCGGTAGAATTTAATTGACCTAGAAATGGGCGAGATACAGGGTAGAGTTCACATGTTAACTCTGTATGTATTATAGCTGTGCATTAAGAAGTAAACATGATCTGATGATCTTTAAGATTTGACCGCTCGACTCGTATATCACATAAGGGACTGGAGCTCTTGCTAAAGCTAAGGGGGGGGGGGGGGGGGGGGGTCTCGTATCTAGGGATGTCAGACGTACGTGCCAAAGGCATGCAACAGGAGTGAGCCGATCTGATGTCGAGCAAGTATTCTCTGAAATAACGTACTATATACAGACAAACTTGCCTAAGCTAATGTCTATAGTTGATTATTTCGAGAAGACTTACCTTGGGTCAGTCATTGTGGACAGTGAGGTGAGGCTGCTCCCTGCATATCCCTTAGGAATTATTAAAGAGCATAATCACTAATTATGCGTCACATCACTAATTATACGTCATATGATCTGACCCATAATAATAGGGGGCCTGGAAGTCGTGCAGCCGCTGAAGCTACTAACAGTTACCTCCAGCCCTATCCTAATATTACTTTTCCCTCCAATTCTAGCTCTTTCCAGTGACTTCAACTCCATTCTAATTTTTTCAAGTGAATGATTTTGTTTCCATTGTAAAATTTCACCATTTTCACAATTGTTCACCATTGTGACCCCCAGTTCTCTTCCGGTATTGGGATGGCCTGAGATGCTTATATCCTTTTCAGTAACCCTAACCCACTTGCGCGCATGGCCCAGACTATATCAATGGACGGCCACGGGAGGATAAAAGTACTTTCATACACACCAGCATCCTCATTGATGGCTTAAAATGAAGCTAAGACATACTCCTATCAGATCCACCATAAGTTAGATACCATAATAATCATTAAATGTGTCTAAAATGAGGAAGCTTTGACAAGTGCGAGTGGTTTTTGCAAATTTTGGTATAAAACGGGCCCTGAGATCATATTTTTCTCATTAAAATCACATATATCACGAATATTCATGTGTGTTGGGTGTATCCTCATTGGTATCAACCATTTCAATCATCTAGAGCAGCTTTCCTGATTCTTTATCTCATGAAAATGGGCAAAAAAGCTCATTAAATAGTCCAAAATCGGTCATTTTCGCCGCTTTAATAACCTCATTCCTGGCACCCAGAACACTTTGGGTACTCAAAACATGATTTTTCGGATACCTCAGACCCCTAACTAGCACATGGAGCCAGAAAGAACAGCATGTAGGGACTTCTAAATTTCCATGGTTGAGAACCCAATGTCACACTATTCGTTCATTAATCCTGCTTTCACTGGTATACTAGTTGTAGGGGGTTAGTCCTACGAGCCAGGGAGTGTGAATCTTAGTGATTGGCCGACATTACCCGGTTCCGGTCCGGCAAAATGCGGCAAACCAAAATATCCTGTCTTTTCCGGTCCGGTGGCCAAAACCTTTGACCGGTCAGTTTCTTACCCTCTGCTCTATCCAGCTGCCACTGGAAGCCTACTATTCCAGTTCTTCTGCCAATAACTTCCTGCTCCATCCATTTGTGTTCTTCAAGTAACTTTATCATTTTCCAGCAACGACTGTTGCAATTTACTCTATCCATGTAATAGCATCAACATCCTACAATTAAAGCTCTTTTAAAATGTTCCAAAAATGATTACTTAATATAATGTGAAAGACCTCCAAAAGGTTGCTATAAAATTTAGATTTGTAGGATACTGGTGATAGCTAGCAGGCTAAAAGCTACAATTAGTTGAAGAGGGCAGCAACAGGGTAGAGTTGGAGCCTAGAGATAACTGAAGGTTAGTTGCTAAAACCGGAATTTACTTGATGAGATTGAGGTCAGTGGAAAGAGCTAATATTGGAGGGAAAGGATAATAGCAGAAGATAGCTAGAGCTGCAGTTAGCTAGTGCTGGAGTTTCCTAAATGAGATTGAGGTCGGTCGCGGTGGAAAGAGCTAGGATTGGAGGGACAAGTAATAATAGGATAGGGCTGGAGGTAACTGTTAGTAGCTTCAGCTGGACTTTGCTAGATGAGAATGTACTGACATAAAAGCGGGCATACAGGGTAGGTTGAAAATAGTGTGAAGATTGTAAAAATCGATAATGTTTTATGTATATTATAGTCAACGGGTATATTATAGTCAACGGGTACTGAAATGAGCTTAACTAGAGATAGCTGCCCGGCGGGTTGTTTGTGATTTCTAAGACGAGCTGATGGTGCTGGTACATAAATTCGGTAGCCCAAGATAAATGCGGTAGCCCAAGATACATTTAAAAATCATGTTTTAAAAATAAATATCTCAAAAACTATGCACCCCATACTGCTTCATAGCTTGCATAATGTATATAAATATGGCTATTCTGCTGTTGTGGTTATCTTGAATGTCATACAATATTCAGGAGCTGAGATGGATAGAAAAATCATATATTTACGCCTGAGGGCAGTTTAGAAATTTTACCACAGCTAGGACAGGGTTGGACTACTAATAAAAGTGGGCACCCAAAATCGAATTATTCTAGCCCAGAATGACCTTTAGACCTTACGAAGGACACTGTGTCGAGTAAAACTTTATACATTGATGTGCCTACTTGACTTAACCTAGCTGCTAGGGAAGTTTTTTTTGTTAATGCGCTTCAGTAAATTATATCAGTTTTTCTCATTTTTATCCAAAAGTAAGTCCTGGAGAGCTTCAGCACCTTAATGGTGTCAATATAAACTTACATATTGCGGTAATTTTAAGCCCAAAGTTAAGTTTCTACGGCCTTCAGAAGCTGAGATAAAAATTTCTCACATACGCGCCCAATATGAAATATGGGCGTGGTTCCCCAAGGCTGAACTAATGGCTCAACATGCCCAATTAATTGAATTAAGTTACTTATATAACCTATTTAACTCGATTCAGCAGTTTAAATACAAACTAAACACCTCCCTGCTGCTAGAGTAAACAACTTCGAATTTTCCGCCAAAAATTGTGTAAATGGGCGTGGTCAGGGTGCCACTACACTTTTATTTACCCAAATTTTATTTTATTATGTTCTAGTAATACTGATGGCATCATATCAAGCCATTTAGAGACCCCCATCAAATATTATAGGCAAATTTCAATAATTTTGGGAAAATTTTCCCACGCTTTAAAAAGGGCGTGGTCACGGGTTTAAACAAACATAAAAAATTATCCACCCAAATTTTTTTTGAAGTAGAGACCCTAGGGAGCACAAATAACATCTCAAACCTTCTAAACTCGCTAAGTTGTGCCAGGTTTTGACCAGATACAGGATTAATCTGAGTGTAGTTTGGCTTGACCTGGCTAACGCTTACGGAGCGGTACCCCATGTTCTGATTGCCAGGGCCCTCCGTTTCTACAACGTCCCTGAGAAGGTTATCAACATTATCCTACGGTACTTCTCCGGGGTATTTGGAAGGTTCTCCTCAAGAACGGTGACATCAGACTGGCAGCAGTTTGAGATAGGAATCTTCATGGGGTGTGTGATATCAGTCATCTTGTTTGTCTTGTGCATGAACCTTGGGCATGAACACCTAAAGTCTAAGGTTCCGAGAAGCATTGAGTACATCAAGGATGACACACCAATACCAACTCTGAAGCTGTTTATGGACGATAGCTGTCTGACCACCGCACGTGCAGAAGATATGCAAACGTTACTCAATGTGTTTCAGAAGTACGTGGACTGGTCCAGATTTAAGTTAAAGTCGTCCAAGTCCAGAGCACTGGTGTTGAAGAAGGGAGTGGCTGTGAGGTGGGTTGAGGAGGTAGTGGTAGGAGAGGAGGAGGTGGAGAGAGAAGAGTTGTGTTTGCAGTTGGGTGGTGAGGTGATTCCGAATGTGTCAGAGAAGCCGATAAAATTCCTTGGGAGATGGATAAGAGTGGAAGGAAATGACAAATCAGTCATCGATTCAACCAAGGTCGACCTTAACACTTTTCTTCGGAGACTCGATGAAAGTTCCCTTACTGGACTCCAGAAGTGCTGGGGATATCAGTACATGGTCCTTCCAAAACTGAAGTGGCCTCTTGCCATCTATGATATTCCGATCACAACAGTTACCAGATGGGAACAGAATACCAATAGTTTCCTCAGAAAGTGGTTAGGGGTGGGGCACACTCTGAGTGGTCTTTGTCTGTTCAGTCAATCATCCAGTGTGGCCTTACCGGTGAGCAGCTTGACAGATACATGGAAGATAGAGAAATGTCGACTGTTGCAATCTTATCAGACATCTAAGGATGACCTGATTAAAGCAGTCCAGCCCCAAGTTCGTTCTGGTAGAGTTTGGAGGCCTGAGACAGAACTGGAAGAGGCCAGAAGAGATTTGGTCTGTGAATCGGTGCGAGGGATGGTGCAACCTCAAAAAAGAGTTGGCATCGGGTTTGGTGACTGGAAAAAACCTTGGGAGAGGATGGATGAGCGGGAAAGAGAGAGGGAGGTTATGCTGAGAGTGAAGGAGAACATTGAAAGAGAGAGGGAGGTGCAAGTAGGTTCTCTGGAGATGCAGAGCAGGTGGGGTGAGTGGAGAGAGCTCGTAATGAAGACGGATTTGAGCTGGCATACACTTTTTAAGTATGGTGACTCACTTATTGGGTTCATGCTAAGTGCTGTGTACGGCACCCTCTTAACCCCCTCTATGGTTTCCAAGTGGAGTGAAGATGAGGATGGGAAGTGCAAGTTATGTGAGGAGAGGATGGGCACCATTCAGCACATTTTGGCTGGGTGTAAGGTGGCCCTTAGTCAAGGAAGGTATAGATGGCGGCACGACAAGGTTCTGAAGCAGATCTCTGAACAGGTTGTCTTCCATTGTGATCGCCGAGTGAACACTTATAAGAACAAGGCCGGCAATGGAAGACAGTTCGTTGATTTTGTTCCTGCTGGGAGGAGAAAAGCAGGTACAGACGACCGGAAGGAGAGTCGTGGTTTTGGGATCCTGAGTGGGTATCGGGATTGGATAGTGCTGTCAGACCTTGAGGGGCAGCTTAAGTTTCCCAGTGAGATTGTGGAAACACGGCTGAGGCCGGACCTTGTGATATTCTCAAGGTCGGCAAAGACAGTTATTTGGTGGGAGCTAACAGTACCATCTGAAGAGCGGATCGCTGAATCGCACGAGTACAAACTCGACCGATACAGTGGTCTGCAGGCTGAGATTCAGGCGAAAGGTTGGTGCTGTTATAATGCCGCAGTCGAAGTTGGAGCTAGGGGAGTGGTTGCGCAGAGTTTGGAGAGAGCTGCGAGGAGGATTGGTTTTAGGGGAAGAGAGCTGAAGAAGCTGGTACAGGACAGTGGGAAAGAGGCAGCCCACTGTTCCAGATGGATTTACTTGTTATCGAGAAAGAGGGAGTGGGAGTTCAGGAAGGTTGGAGCTTGAGAGTTCACTATAACATCTAGAGGTACCATAAACGTTATCTCGTCGCCAATTGCGAGCTCTAACGGGTCTCCTCAAGTGACTCTCGGATCAGATGGTGGTTCAAGGGTGGACTGCTGGGGCGCCTGACAGGAAACCGTATTGCGATTAAAGCCCCGAAACGGTGTCAGGTTGGTAACTGATGATTCTGATCCAGGCTCCTGTGAGTTTGCTGTTGTATCTCAACTTGCTAAACTGAGGCATCTCCGCATCTTGGGTGAATATGCGTACATCTTCATACTAAACCCAGGTGTGGCATGTGTCAGTGAATACGGGCGAGCGGATGCAATAGCGAAGGTGGTGTGGCAAGGCCTAAAAGACACAGTCAGATAGTTGTCAGCTCGCTGACTGTAAGGGAGAAGGTATATCCGTATTTCGCTGCTACTGATGCAGTCCTTGATCTGGCAATCAAGGCTTCTCTGTTTTTCGTCTAACTATGTACCGTTGGGCTTGTGGAACCCGTAAGGGGGACATACATAGGTTAGAATGGTTTTGTGCACCAAGAGGAGTGAGGGAATGAGGGTTGAAGAGAGATAGCTTGAGAGTTGTTAGGGTGGTTAGGATCAGTAGGTGGAGTGTTTGGTTGGAGATTTCTGTTTTTGCTGTATAGCATTTTAGTCACTCCGCAGTTTATTAACTGTGTCTCAACTCCGGTAAAATGACATAATCTATCAAATGACTTTAGATCCTAAATCAAATAGGTTAATAAATGGATATTTACGTAGGTTGACAAAACGTTAATTCAAAATTATTATCATTATATGAAATTATTATATGAAAATTTATTGCTATGAAAATAAGTAATAGCTAGTTATGAAGACAATCCTTGAACACGGGATTCTTTGCAATATTGCCCCGACTTGACAGCACCAAGATATCCTTAGGATCGTGTGTTCTTGACAAAGCTTTGTTCGAGGAAATTTTAAAAATCAGTTATGTTTTAATTTCTCTTCATCATATAGCTCTGTTATACTGTAGACATAATGGAATTTATCTAACAATGGCGACAGCGTTGTTAGTATTCGGATTCCCAAAACGATACTTTTTACTGCATCAAAAAATACCAATCACAACCAAAGTTATGAATATAAGTCATAGCGTGAGCGTAAATGTGAGCTAGTTTTGAAATTATGACGTAGCATACAGCATAACAACGCGCGTAGTTAAGATGTTTTTGCTCGCGCACGTGCATTTTAACGTTGCTACGCAACAGCGCAGTAAACCTTTGCTAAAATAACGACATTATTCTAACGGTTATTTTACCTCACTTCCGACGTTAATTATAAAAAATCTAAAGCCTAAATCAAAATTCTAAGAATGCTATAGCCTATTCCTATCCTTTTTCTACAACCCTGCTAAAAATGGCGAGGTTTCAACTCCATTTGCGAGCTGGGTTTGATTTCACCAGAGGGTCATTTTGAGGTCGATTTTCGGTGTTTTTTCTTCTATGTCCCGTTGCCGGGGAAATTTCGTCAAGTTTAAATTATAATATAGATGAAAGTAATAAGTTCAACAATATGTTAAAGGCTGTTAAATGTTAGCATGGTTAGATCTTACCTTGCTTCCACTGACATCTATGTGTAAAGGACCTTGATTCGGAGTTATTGGCATGTCTGGTGTATCAAATGCCCTGAAAACGGGGAGATTTAGCTAAAGGAGGTAAAATTATAAGAATTAAAATGTTTCCTAAGATCATACCTACATCTTTGATCATGGGTCTTAGTGTTATCTTGTTATTTATACTATACAATAGAATAACAAGGGTGCCTTTATAAATATGATGGCTGAATTATTGAAGAATCCTTTACTGAACAGAAGCAACCATCGTTGTACTGTGAAATGTTCAGCAACACCATATCGTATAACACATACACTTGTGTACATTTAATACAAATGGTGTGCCCATGATAGCCACCTTATTTATTGCATTAGTTAAAATCGAATAACTTGCCTTCTGCTAATAAGCCATTATCATCTACAAATTGAGCATCTTGATAAATCTAAAACAAGCTTATCTTATTCATTCACTCCCTACTGAAGCTTCATCAATAGTGGATTCTGCAAATGAATATCATGTTTCCTGTGAATTGTTGACTTGTAAAAGGTCAGACCTGTTGAATCTATACTCTATGCTCTCTGGAAACAGCGATTTTCAAACATATTATAACATGGACACAATACTAAAATCCTACACTTCATTTTTTGTATAATTTATAATTCAGTAGATATTTTAGATATAATAATATCCTACCTTTCCTCCGAGAAGCTTCCTCCGAAATAAACGATCAGAAACCCAGTAAAGAAGAACAAGGCAATGTATAAAAAAGTTCGGTTGATCTGAACATTCTTAAAGTCCATAATCATCAGTCGTGCATCGTGTCTGAATTGTAAATTATGAAATAATATAGTCAAAAGTACAGAGTACACATAACACTGTGCATGTGTACTAAGTTCGAAGTTAACTCCAATTTATAATTCAAATTGTGTAGTATAGAATAGTTTAGTTTCAGTACTGTTTTAATTATTTAACGGTGTAGATTTATTATTATATACAGTCTCAATAGGAGGTCCCGACTGCCTAGGCATCAAACCTTAGCAGTCAACTAGGGTCAACTGACCCTAGGGACCAGAGGAGAACAAGGAGTAAAAAATTAACGTTTCTAGCAGTGACATAACGTTGCCTGTTGACTAATAGAGTGACAGCCTACTTATTTACAGTTGTTTTGTGAACATAATGGGTATATTTTTGGACCTAAAGGCTTTAGTATGGCAACTTTAAAATTGGTTCTTTTAATCATTTATTAAATATCAGTTTAAAAATATATAAATCTGGAATCTGTTCACACTGTGAACCAGTCCTATAAAAAACCCTCTTAAATTAAATATTAAAAACGTCTCAACAATAGAAATAGTCATACAATTAAGAAATTAAGATCTTCCGTCAGTCAAACTCTGCTGCTACTAGATGATTGTCTAGTAGCATGATTGTTTTTTTTTGTTCTTTTTAAAAACTGCAATGAAGAGTGCGGCAAAGCTAACCCGGTCCCCTAATCCTAGGTTAAATGTGATCGCCTCAAAAGAGCCCTTAGCTGTCTAGCTGAGAAGACCTGAAAAGTGGTTACTGGAGGAAGAAGTGTCAGGAATTCTCGATGGTTTTTTAGCGCTAATTTCGGACAGCACAAAATTCTTGAAACAAACGCGTATTGTAGCAGAGGCTCTTACGGGCAAAAAGACGTGTTTTCTGCTACGAGTTTAGAGACCTAACCGCTAATTGGACACAATAGTATGATGTCTAAGGATCGATAATATGTTAAGAAGTATAAATTTGGACTTATTAGTCACGTGCTATACCAATGCGCGTTTTAAACTTTGACAGTCTATTACTCTAAGGCAAATAGAGTAATTATATTCATATTTTGTCAGCAATAAGATCACATTATTTTCTATTTAGTGTGAAAATATGAGCTAGAACGGACATAATCTCGCTGAGTTATAGCTGTTTGAAATTTATGATGAACGCGCGGGTGCCAATTGATAACAACTAAATGCTTTTGCGCGTAGTGCGCGTCGAAAATTTGGCAAAAACGCTTGCGGAGTGACAATATTCAAACTTCGATAAAGTATATGAAGTGGGTACTTCTCGGAAAGGAAAAATTTAGGCAAACACGATGTGACTATTTTTGGGTTGATTTAATACAACTGCAAAGAATTATTCAAACTTCAAGCAAAAAAGTCAAAATTTTTACCACTTTTTTGGATTTTTACCTCAGAACAAATAGAGGGATTTGTTTTATTTTTATACAATCTTGTGCGGCTGTCTTTTAGCTATCTTTATGCAAGTTTTGCCGACATGCCAACAAAATTAACTTGCTCAAAATATCAAAAAACATGGTTTTTTGGCCTATTTTTGGCCCAAAAATCGGTTTTTTGCGATTTTACCCCAGAACAATCAGTCCAATCATCTTGAAACCACTTTCAATCGATTCTACGGTCAAAAATACGTCTAGTAAGGTGTATCTGGGGTCCCTAACGTATCGAGCAGACAATGCCCGTAAGAGCCTCTACTATTGAGTAACCTTCCCTTGATCCAATTTTAACAAAAATTGGTTAGCTTACTCATAGACTTACCAAGCTAAGAAACTGTCCGAAAAATTTAAGCATATTCAACCATCAGACATTATGTTACAGCTAAAAGCAGCGTATTTTTTTTCATTTTCATCACTATTTCAAAATTCACCAAATTTTTCGGACAGTTGTGAAAGCCCTATTGGAATATCTTCACAAATCTTTAGAATGATCTCATTCAATAAACCGAAGATATGACAGAATACTACGACAAAAATTAATGAATTTCCTCAAATGTCAAATTACGCGACTATTACATTTAATTTTGCTCCAAAAGCCGCGCACCATTAAATTTAGCACCTAGGTGAATCTCACTAATCATTCCAAAGAGGTAATACAAATTTGGTACTGTGAAAATTCTCACAGTTTCTAGAAAACAATGGTACAAAAATGTTAAAATCCAAGCAAATTTATTTTTATTGTGCACACCCTAATTTTTTTATACGGCCGGAAGTCCTCCTTTGCCATTTTTGTTTTTTAAATTGACTAATTTTGGGCCATAACAAGAAAACAACAAACAACACGTGACAGGCTTGTAAAACGTTAATTCGATTATATAGGGCTCGGGTTAGGGTTAGGGTTGTGGTTAAAATAATTATGGATAGCTTCGGGGTTATGGTTAGGGTTAGGGTTGGGATTAGGGTTTATGTAAAACCGTTTTGTACGGCTGCAAAACCAAAAAAACCAAAGTCACGTGAAATTTTTGGGCGAGCGATTTAGTAAGAGCCCATTATTACCTTGGGACCCCAGGCTAGGCTTTTATGTTCATAAACATAGCCTGGCGCAATTGAACCCTCTAAAACGCGCATATAGGCGCGCTTATGCGATTGTACAATCAAACAATCAGATTTTACAATCTAACTCAGCGCGCAGCTCTTCTAGCGCATATGTCACTTCTTTTTTATTGGTAGTTGGCGTGCACGTGATCTTTTGCGCGGCTGTAATTGGTTCTGAACGATCACGTAAATGCTAGTCAATTAAGATTCGTCTGATAACAGCGGTGTACATCCATTTGCATTTTTTGGGCTCATACCCAAGGAAGGTTGTACAACAGGCCTAACTAATATCAGTTCAGATGATGAAGCAAGATTCCCCTAGAGTGTGGCAGTATGAGCCTTTTTTGTTTTCAATAATGATAATACACTTTACAAATGCAGTGCAAAATAGTACTGGCAAAATTGCTTGCTTTGCGAAAGAAACACAAAACTATCAGAATTTCACCGTCAGATTCTCTTAAACCATCTAATTTGTTTAATTGTACCTCTACCATGTGAGAGGGGGGGGGGCTGATGTGAGAGGGGGGGGGGGCTGAGGCATTCCAACATTCAAAGTTACACCACTGAACCTACTGCTGGTTTTTTTGGTAAACTGAAATTTGCAACACTTGGTCCATGATATGTATTATATCAAAAACTTCAACTCGTTCCGAATGCTGCTGCTAAAGCTATAGTAGGACTATGTAAATATGATCATCTAGGAGACACTCTGAAAGACACTCTGAAAGGCATATTAGTTACATAATTCAATACAAGTTATTGCTTCTTGTCTTAAAATGTCTTAATGGTATGGGACCAGATTATTTAAGTAATATGTTTGAGTATGCTGGTTGTAATCGTCCGTCTTGTCTATTTGACTGAACCTAGAGTAGATACACAGTATGGAGAAATATCAATTTAGAAAGTTGGCCTATATTATGGAATGAGCTGCCTCTTGAAATTAAGAATTGCATGTCATTGGACTCTTTTAAAGTGTATCTGAGAACGTTTCTTTTTAAACATGGTTATGATATTAATAAATCTAAACTTTTTTCAATGTTTCTACTGTTAAGCGCATACCCTTTATAATCTTGTAATTAAAATTGTTAAATTATTCAAACAATATACACATAATTTAATACTTTCAACACTACTATATAACAATTAATTTGAGGACCCCTAAACTGCCAATTACTCAAATTTTGTCACTACCCCCCGTGACTACAGTTAAGACCTGCTCCCCAACAGGATCTTCTTGTGATGCCCCCAAAGATAGATCATATGGAAATTAAAGTGGCCGGGTCGGTGTCTTCGAATTATGTACCATTACAGGATAATGACAATGTATTAAAAGATCCTCGACAGCTTGAGGAAAATGGCACTTGTTCAAACTGTGCAGTTGAAAAAGCCCAAGTTAAAGATGAAACGGTATGTTGTATCAATTGTAAAAAGTTGTTTCATGCCCTCTGTGTGGCTCCTGTTTCAAATGACTCAAACAGTGCTAGGCCCAAGTCTAAGTCAATGCCCAATAATCCCTGTACCAAGTCTTTCTACACAGCTTTTGTACAAAACAGTTCGAACAAAAGTAAAGAACAACATATGGGAAACTTTCTCTTTATGTGTGATCCTTGCTTTACACATCATCAAGTGAAGCAGACTAGCACAACTAATGATCATGTTCAGGTACTTGACAACAGAGTAACACACTTAGCTAGTGATGTCACAGAGATTAAGAAATTATTGGAGAATGTAATTGCTGGGAAATCTATTAATCATTCCCCTGTTGATAATCTCATCTCGACAGCCAAAGCACAGTGTACCTTGAAACCAGCTACTGATCAGGGTGAGAACGTGTGGCTCGATGAAATAAGAACAAAATCCTTGCTGGTTGTTACAAAAGGTGCTAATGTTCCATGTAAAGATCTAGAAAAGACAGTGGTTGATAATGGAATCCAGGTTCATAAGCAATATGTTGATAGTAATGGTGATCAAGTACTCATATTACCAACCCAAGCTTCACGAGATAATCTGAAGACAGAGCTGATATCATCAGGTATAGCTGCTAATCAACTGAAAGAACCAAAGCAAAGATATCCCACTATCTCAGTTGTTGGTCTACCTAAGGATTTTAGTAGAGATCACAAAGAAGAGATAAGGAACACCATCCTGAAGCAAAATCCTTACATTTCTCACTGCCTCAAAGCAGACCCTTCACTGTTTGATGTTCTGTCTGTGAAACCTCTCCGTGCAAACCAAAATATCAAACAAGCCATCATAAGGTTGAGTGATAATATTAGAATTGCTATACGAGATAATAATAACAGGTTGTTCTTCGGTTTACTGTCTTGCCAAGTGTATGACCAACTTTACATAAAGAGATGTAATAAGTGTCAAGGCTTTGGTCACTATTCTAAGACTTGTAAAAACGAAGTGTATTGTGGTTTCTGCGCCGCCCCTGGACATGAAACTCAACAATGTGATAATAAGGACAACAATTCAGAGGAGAAAAATGATCTAATGCCCACATACTGTTGTATCAACTGCAAAAAGTCTGGCTCACCTGATGATTTATGTAAACATGCTGCATTTTCTACTGAGTGTCCTTCTTACCGGGTTCAGCAAGAGAAACTTAAAGCCTCCCTATCTTATTATTCAAAAAACTAGTTTCCTCCAAACCAAAGAAATTGCATCAACTTCGATATATGATCTGGAATGCTAGAAGTCTTAATAATAAGTGTGACGACATTATGTGCTTACTTCAAGATCATGATGTAGACGTTGCTATTGTAACTGAAACATGGTTATCTGACCAAGCCAATACTACAACAGCAGTTATAAAATCATATGGCTACAGTATTGTTCATGATTTCAGAGCAAACAACAGAGGTGGTGGCACTGCTCTGATTTACAACATGGCATTACATTTCTCTGTTGTTAATTTGAAAGTTCCGAACCTGACAACCTTTGAATTCATCGCTGGATCTATAAAGTGCACTCCTGACATGAAGATCCTTGTCCTATGCATCTATCGAACTGGCCCTGTCTCAAAGAAGTTCTTTGAGGAACTTGATGACTTATTGGGTTCTGCAAGTCTGAAAAGTGACTATATAATAATTGGAGGAGATTTCAATATTCACACAGAGTCAATTACTGTAAACTCAACTGAACTGCTGCAGACCACCTCATCTTATGGTTTCAAGCAACTTATTGAAAATCCGACCCACATGAGTGGAGGAACTATTGACCTGCTCTTTGACCAGAGTAACTTGATTGAAACGTCTACAATTGAAATCCTGAAAAACTGTACCCTGAGTGATCACTTCCCCATCATATTTGCCACCAAGAAGTTTCAAACTAACCTCAAAGCTCCTAAAACAATCAATACTAGACAGCTTAAAACCGTGGATTGTGATCAGTTGGCGATTGATTTACTGATGTGTTCCTCTGACTATGAATTGGCAGACTGCTTTGTTGAATCTTGTGAACAATTTTTCCAATGCATTGGTAGTGTCCTCGATGAACATGCACCTTTGGTCCAAAAGACTATAAGCTTTGTTCCCCATGCTCCCTGGTTTGATTCTGAGTACAAAGATCAAAAGAAACTTAGAAGGAAAGCCGAGAGAACTAAGCATAAAAGTGAGGAGAACAGGATACTCTTTGAAGAGATCCGAGATGAAACAACAAACATGGCTAATCTTAAAAAACAACAGTATTATAAAGGTTTACTTGACAAAAATCAACATGATGTTAAATCTATATATAGCATTGTCAATCGTGAGCTTGACAGACATCAGAATACTCCTCTCCCAGAATCAGAAGATGTTTCAAAACTTTGCAGTGATTTTAATCACTATTTCAATGAAAAGATCAAGAACATTAGGAAAGATTTCCCCAGCATAGAAGATTTTGATGTTGATAAACACATTATGAATCAACAGAACAATTCCAACTGTGAAGGTCGGTTATATGAATTTGAACCATGCACAGAGGATGAGCTGTCTGAAATAATCAAAGAAAGTGGAATCAAGTGTGCACCATCTGATTTTCTTCCAACAACTGTCCTCAAAGACAATATCACAAGTTTCATTCCTGTCTTGTGCAAACTGGTGAACCAGTCTCTAGCTAAGGGCACATTCGACGGTTTGAAGACTGCTGACATTATTCCTACCATCAAGGACCACAAACTTGATCCAAATGACTTCAAGAGCTATCGACCTATATCTAACCTCTCTTTTCTGGGTAAACTCATCGAGAGAGTTGTGCTGAAAAGGTTAAATGAACATCTGGCTAAAAATGATCTCAATGTTCCACAGCAATCTGCCTATAAGAAGTTCCATTCTACTGAGACCATCTTGTTAAAAGTAACAAATGACCTACTGCTGGCATGTGATAGCAAATCCTCCACTGTTCTCATGATGCTCGATTTATCTGCAGCCTTTGACACAGTGGAACACAGAAAATTACTCAAAATTCTTTCTGAAGAGATCCATATCGGAGGTACTGCTCTTAAATGGTTCAAGAGTTTCCTGGTAGGCCGCACTCAAAGAACCAGAATAGGCTCTTCTACTAGTGATACGATCATTCTAGAATTTGGTGTACCTCAAGGTTCTGTGTTAGGACCGGTGCTATTCAACATATACATCAGATCTCTGTATAGGACCATCGAGAAATCTGGATTCAATGTGCAAGGATATGCAGATGACCACCAGGTATATAAAACTTTCAAACCTTGTGATCAGGTAAATGTTCTGGGCATCCAAATTGTGAATTGCGCTAGGACCATACAGCGCTGGATGGTTGAATATTGCCTTCAACTTAATCCTGGAAAAACACAAATACTTATCATCGCCTCACCTCAAGTTCTAAACCAGGTCAGTATAGGGGGAGTTAAGCTATCAAATGGTACCTGTATCAGATTTGTCAGCACAACAAAGAACCTTGGTGTTCAAATTGACCATCATCTTACTTTTGAGCCTCAAATCATGTCCCTCAAAAAGCATTGTTTCAGACTCCTTAGGAATGTAATAAGGAGAAAATATCTCTTTAGTAAAGCTCAGCTCAAGCTTATAATTAACAGCATCATTGTCTGCAAATTGGACTACTGCAATGCTCTTTATTATGGAATTAGTGACAACCTCATCCACCAACTCCAACTCGTTTGAAGAATGCAGCTGCTAAAGCTATAGTAGGACTATATAAATATGATCATCTAGGAGACACTCTGAAAGACCTTCATTGGCTGCCTAGTGCCTATTAGTTACAGAATTCAATATAAGTTATTGCTTCTTGTCTATAAATGTCTTAATGGTATGGGACCAGATTATTTAAGTGATATGTTTAAATATGCCAATTATAATCATCTTATCTATTTGACTGAACCAAGAGTATATTCACAGTATGGAGAAAGATCGTTTCAGAAGGTTGGCCCTAAATTATGGAATGAGCTGCCTCTTGAAATTAAGAATTGCATGTCACTGGAATCTTTTAAAGTGTATCTGAAAACGCTTCTTTTTAAACGTGCTTTTGATATTAATTAATTTACTACTTTTTCAACGTTTCTACTGTTAAGTGCATACCCTTAACCTTGTAATTTAGTGTATCAAGTCTTTACAATTTTCTATGGTTTGGAACCTAAATGTGGATTGCTTTTCAGGTTTTCTTGTATCCTGACTTGTTTTCGTGGCACACCTGTGCATTTTAAGTTGTTGTGCCACTATAATCTATAAGTTTAAATTATTATTATTATTATTATAATTGTCACAATGACCCTATATAAAAACAACCCTTCAAAAAATCAATATAATATTCCCTATCTCAAATATTGGGAGAAAAATTTGAATATCAACCTTTGCCTTGTGGCTCCAAATTCAAATCTAAACTGTTTAAATCAACAAAGTTCTTTCTCGCACCTCTGTCCCCCTGTAGAGAAATCACTGTTGTTTCTAGGAATTCGAAACGAATGCGCTTTCTTATGTATCCAACAGCATCTGAATACCTTTGCCCTGTGTGGTATTCCATCTTGCTAGCAAGCTTCTTTACTAGTCTTTCAGCTTCACCACCCATTCCACCAGATGTTGAGAAAACTAACGGCGTGAAGCTTCCTTTCTGGGGAGAAATTATTGGTCCCGGTAAATTGATAATCTCAGTCCCGGTCCCGGTCAAGTCACATTTTGTATCCCGGTCCCGGTCAGGCCTGAAATCATGTTTGTTATCATTGCCAATCTATTATTGTTCTATACTTCTCTGTATATAACTTTAAATAACATTACTAACGTAATCTCAAAGTGGGCATCTATGTAATCTTAATTGTTACCTTCATGCCCACAGTTCACTGTTAAATCATATCTTATTTTATCACTCATTAATTTATTACTCATTATGTTTTACATACTATATCCTTATGTCCCTAGAAGGGTGTTCTGCTAACAGTTTTCGACTGACTTGAATGTCCTGCACAGCAGATTGAAGCTTCTTAAATTATTTTTTATTCTTATTGTATTGCTGTGTAAATTTGATTCTAATTCTAATTCTAATGTCCCGGTCACCTCCTGGGCATCCTCACCTAAATTAGAATTCTAGCGGGTTCCGCTCAGAAGAATTGTGTAACCTTAAATTATTTCAGAATTATAACTATTGTGAATTCAATAAAATAATTATCACTTTTGTATCCTTGTATCCTTATATCCTAGTGGCACAACAACTTAAAATGCACAGGTGTGCCACCAAAACAAGTCAGGATACAAGAAAACCTGAAAAGCAATCCACATTTAGGTTCCAAACCATGGGAAAGACTTTAAACACTAAATTACAAGATTAGATATGGAGGATTAGGTATTCCAGTTATGATGGACGTGGCAGATCGAGAGTATAAATTCTCCTGTAAGGCTACAAAACAGGGGGGGGGGGGGCCAACCATATTAAAGTATATTAAAGTATATCCCCGGGTCAAAATCGGAAAAAATCCTACATTTTAATATACTTTAATATACCTACAATTAAAAGATTTATATTCTTCGTTAAGATTTACATGATGAACTATATTTTTCACTCAGATTCGCAAGATAAGCCTGTTTTAGGACTAGTACATGAATTTCCATCCAGATTGGTCAAAAATTGGCTGAGCTATGAGCTTACAAAAATATGCCCATATTTGGGCATACGCTTTTGCCCAAATTCGCTTTTGCCCAAATTCGATGAAATTTCAATATTTTTTAATGAGACTAACTCTATGTGAAAGATATAACTCAGTGTTTGTTGAATATAGTGGATACTAAGTAAAAAGACCTCCATGAACAAAATTGGGAAAATTGCACATAATATCTCGGTTCGGAATACTAGCCAAAATGACTTCATTAAAATTGAAATAACTCCATCAGTTTTCAATATTTTTTCAAGAACTTTTTGGAATCGATTAAGAATTGCATTTCAAGCTTATTTTGGGCAACAATTTGGGGGGGGGGGGCCAACCATATTAATAAAGTATATTAAAGTATATCCCCGGGTCAAAATCGGAAAAAATCCTACATTTTAATATACTTTATTATACCTACAATTAGAAGATTTATATTCTTCGTTAAGATTTACATGATGAACTATATATTTCACTCAGATTCGCAATATAAGCCTGTTTTAGGACTAGTACATGAATTTCCATCCAGATTGGTCAAAAATTGGCTGAGCTATGAGCTTTAAAAACTATGCCCATATTTGGGCAAACGCTTTTGCCCAAATTCGCTTTTGTCCAAATTCGATAAAATTTCAATATTTTTTAATGAGACTAACTCTATGTGAAAGATATAACTCAGTGTTTGTTGAATATAGTGGATACTAAGTAAAAAGACCTCCATGGACAAAATTGGGAAAATTGCACATAATATCTCGGTTCGGAATAGTAGCCAAAATGACTTCACTAAAATTGAAATAACTCCATCAGTTTTCAATATTTTTTCAAGAACTTTTTGGAATCGATTAAGAATTGCATTTCAAGCTTATTTTTGGCAACAATTTTTGATGTAGGCCTCCAAGGCTAGATAGGGATATATTAAAGTATATTGTAGGTATATTAAAGTATATTAAAGTATATCCCCGGGTCAAAATCGGGAAAAATCCTACATTTTAATATACTTTAATATGGTTGGCCCCCCCCCCAAAACATCTAAAAGAAGCAATTCTCAAGCAGGTAGACAACTACACAGAAGACTGGAAACACAGCAAAGGAGTGAAAACCGAAATAACGACCGAACGGAATCTCTTGAACTATCTACAAAAACAAGCAGTAATACGCCAGGAGCTTGATTCAACACCACTGGCAAAGTTGATGTTCCAACTAGCTGCGGAGAAAGGGGCAAGTGCTTGGTTATTAACAGCACTACCTTTAAAAGAGTATGGATATCTGATGAATAAACAACAGTTCTCAGACGCAATAGCACTCAGATATAACCTAAACTTAAAGGATAGCCCTAAGACATGTATGTGTGGCCAGAAATACTCGGCAAACCATGAGCTCATCTGCAAACTCGGTGGGTATGTGTCACTGCGGCACAACTCGTTGAGAGACACCTTTGCAGAACTAATGAGAACTGTGAAATGCAAGGATGTGCAGACTGAGCCAGTTCTTCTTCAAGTTGATGGCCTAGAGTTACCAAAGGGAACAGTCCTAGGAGACCAAGTTAGGCTGGACATTTCTGCAAGATCGATTTGGAATGCTTCAGAGAGGGCATATTTTGATGTAAGGGTATTCCATGCCCCAGCCCCCTCCAATGCAAGCAAATCGATCCCAGCAATGTACCAGTCCCATGAAAATGAGAAGAAAAGGTGTTACAATGCAAGGGTTCTGATGGCAGAGGTCACTTCAGATTCTGACATGAGCTTATTTAGGATATCCAGATCTGGTGGTTCAGGGTAATGTTTGTGATTGTGGTGAGTGAGATCTGGCTCCTGGTCTGGTTTTTTATAAAGGGATGCAAAGAAGTCGTGGAAGCTAGCTAAATCAAATTTGTCAAGTAAGGGGCTAGTGTCATGTTCTTGTTTAAGCTGTTTAAATTTTTTCCAGTCGAGTATGTGACCTTCTTCTATAGCTTCATTTAACTTCTTAAGGAAAGCTACTTTTTTACTGTTTACAAAATTGCTATGCTTGTTGCGTTGCTTAAAGTATTCTCGTCTGAGGATACTGTTACAGTGCTTACTACCAAGTCGGTTTGCTAGCCTATTAAGGTTCCGCCGCGAGGAGTTGACTTGTGGGCAGTAACCGACCGGGACATGATTTTAGGCCTGACGGGACCGGGACCAAGAATCCTGAATTTACCGGGACCGGGATCATAAATCAGCATTTTACCGGGACCGGGATGAAAAATGTGACTTGACCGGGACCAGGATAGCTCAAAATTGCCAATCCCGGTACCAGGATTTCCGGTACCGGGAATCCCGGACGATTACTGGTTAATTCATGATCATAATTTATTACTCAAACTTGTTTAGCAATTTAAAACATTGTTTTATTTGGCTCAGAGGATGTTTAAAGATGAAATTCACAATGAATGAAAGTAAAAACTTAAAATCACAGTGAATGAAATTATGTAAAAGATCCCGGTCAAAATCCCGGAAAAATTTGAGTGATTGACCAGGACCGGGACCGGGACCAAGAATCCTAAATTAACCGGGACCGGGACCATAAATCAGCATTTGACCGGGACCGGGATAGCTCAAAATTGCCAATCTCAGTCGATTACTGCTTGTGGGTCGAACCATTTCTTACGGGCAGAATTTTTGGGAGGCTTTTTCACTTTTAAGGCTATATCAGCAGCACTGTGGAGACATTTTATGACTGCATCGTTCAGTTCGTGATTGCCCTCCAGGATACTGCTAAATTCATTTGTCACAACGCTTTCCAGATTGTTGAAAATTTCGGGCGAGGTAAGGGCTTTTTTAAATAGTGAATGGGAGGTGTTGCTGTCCCACCTATAGCCACAAGGAAAGTTAGAAAAATCTGGGAGCTGGAAGTTATCGACAAATGGTTCAAATGTAGTGAGTTTCAAGACTAATGAACAATGATCAGAGTATGATGTGAACTCTCTTACTTGGAGAGAGTTTACATGATCTCTTGCGCTGCCCATGAGGTGATTACAAAATAGTCAACCACACTGCTTTCATTGTATTTGTGACAGGTCATTTTTCCAGTGGTGTCCCCAAGGGTACGACTGTTAAGAATTTTGAGTTGGTTATTGATAACCATGTCAAGAAAGTGTTGGCAGTGGGGTTCAGATATTGTAAGGTCAGAATTGTTTCTTGGTTCTTCTAGAAATAATAATATAGAAATTTAAATTATTATTATCATTAATATTATTAAAATTCTGTGGTTAATCAGAAAAGAATACCATCGTTCAGTTTGGTTCCCAACATTCTTCGTTCCTTTTCACCCTAGATTCTAACTCTTTCCCTAACTCCAAATATAACTCAAATCCTTTCACTTACCATTTAAACTCTAAACCTAACTGAAGACGATTTAGTATTTACATTTTACACATGTACTTTGAAAGCTCCTTCTAGGACTTTCAAACTTTTCGTATCACTTATTATATATGTTTTTAATTATCCCCCCTCCAGGCTAAAGCTAACCTTATTGGGAATTAATGTTTTGTGCACCTCGTTCTGGGTCAGCACAACAGTTATCATTAAGTTCCCTTGTGAAAAATGGGACCTATATAACTGTGAGGCACAAATCATAACTGCTAGAGATACAATGATGAATATAACAAACAAAGCTAATATGCAATTTATCAACTCAAATGATTTTGAAGCTAGAACAATTTACTGAAGTAGGTGCAGTGTCAGACAAGAAACGTCTGCTTGTGAAATACAAGCATTAGTTAGCATTTGAGGGAACTTTCTTTAATTCACGGGTATCTTATCTATATAATAGTGTGGACTGTGGTATCTATATGATGTGGTATCTAATTTCACTGTTACACTTGTTTTTGTACTTTTTTCGTTTAACGCAGATGACCTACTTATGATCCGGATTTAACAATTTCATCACAGCTCTCTTTCCTAGGCAATGTCACATGTGATGTACGCTTGTTAGTTCCTGATCAACAGAAAATTGGCACCAGAGCTTTCTATTGATATTTTGATAGAAAATGGGTTGTTTCTGGGGCCCGAGTTCTGATGAAGATCGTGAACAAAACAAGAGAAACTCCAAAATTAATCAAGAAATAAAGAAGTCAAAGCAAACCTTCAAATCAACTCACAGACTTTTGCTTTTAGGTTTGTCAAATTTGGTTAGAATCGATCGTAATCTCTTTAAATGTATGCATCAATGAATTACATACACTTGCACTCTCGATCTATGTCATATTCAACACAAATCTTCATGTTGCCTATAATATTGCTCAGTACTTTCTGTAGATTATTGTCTACTACTGTTAGTGACTTTTGAAAAAGGTTAACAGTAAACTATTGTCAAGCTATAATGGCACCTTATGGTCTCAATGTTTTATTCACTATTCACAATTTATTGTGATTTAGGAAATTACTCGATTTAATCGTGCTATTGAATTGTTAAATTGATTATTGTATCAAGCATTTGAGGTATCAAGGGGCAGGAGGACTTGAAGATACAACAAATTTGTCTTGGAGTCCTTCCATCTGAAAACAAAGAAACTTTTCAGATACTCAAGTTGATAATAGGTTCATATAGACCGCCTGCCCCTTAAAGTTCAAATTTATAAGAAATAGTAAAGAATAGGCTCAATTTTGACTGTATTTTGTTTATCAAAGTTTAACTAGTTTAAATTCGTTTAAACGTTATTACTGATCCTAGCTTTAAACTGAATGACAACTCAGCCATGAGTTGCCTTTTCTCGAATAGTGAAAGCGATAGAGAAAAGGCAAAAAATGAGAAGATAAACAAAAGGCTTGCTGACTACAAACCACTGTTTAAGTCCACCCATAGATTACTATTATTAGGTTTGTTCAGCCCAACAGTTTGAGAAATCTATTCTTTGTTCTTGACTCTCAGTAACATCTCGGTTTTAAAGAACTTTTTTGCTGCTTCTGATTTGAGAGGTTTTCTCTTTATATAGTCCCAGCCTCATTTGAATATCCTTACAATGTACAGCTTTTTAACTGCCAACAAACCGTAACTAGGTGCTAGAATATAATATATGAATAAATCGAATCATGATATCTATCGTTTTCTGACAAAATTGCTAAAAAATCCGAGGTTTTTAAAAGCACTTTTGACACATTCATGAAAACTTGTGGCATTTTAAGCGGTTTCAAAAGAGGGTTTCTGAGGGACAGTCATTGGTTCTAATGCAATGGTTTCTGATGGTTTTCAGGGATAGTTCTTGACCCAATTAAGAAATATGGGTCAAAGAATTTATAATTTCAAAATTGGTCTCGAATCACTTTTGTCAGAAAACGGCAGATATGCAGCAATAATAGTATGTGTCAGGAAAGATATTTGAATATCTAAAACAAATCTACCTGACTATATATTTGATAATTTATGAGGTAAACCAGACTTTCTGAAAGACCGAATAAGTTATATCCCTGCTCTTAATATATAGCTTAAAACTTAGTAATAGTTATTTTTTGTCATAATATTATCATTATCCATTGTCAAATATAACAACTTTCCATCATCTAGGCTTATATTTTATGACAGCTTCGTTATGAGCTGTTTCAAATCAGACACTGCCTCTGACTCAGCAGCCCTAAAAAATAAAGAGATAGATGAACGGCTTGCTTTGTTCAAGCCATTGTTTAAAGCAACCCATAGATTGCTCTTGCTAGGTTTGTTAGCCGCCATCCAGTGTGTTCAACCTATACCATTAATTCAGATTACGGTCTTACCGGTTGCTTCTGATTACAATATTTGAAGATTTATTTCATTTAATTCTTTTCACCAATTCAATTCTTTGAGTGAACTCTTTGATTTACATAGTTTTTGAACTTTCCATTATGTTTGACTGCTGCAATTTTTCATACTGCATTTTTAAAGCGTGTTGTTAAATGGTAAAACTTGAAGAATTCTTTGTAAATTACCATTTTGATTGATAACACCCACAACAAGAATACTTTTCATCTACAACATACTCAGTATCACAACACGATTAAATTTCTCATATGTGCATCATTAAAACACTAAACTCTAGTTGGTAGTGCGTGCATGAACATATGGTTATCATGTGCTGCTTCTGTAAGAAACAAAGCGAGGCAGACATGCGCAATAGAGACATTGAAAAACGGTTGAAAGAAGACAAAATGAACTTTAAGTCAACCCATAGGTTGCTTCTCTTAGGTTTGTTCTCAGCAGCTGCAATTCTTGTCATGCTCAGCAAAAACTCCCAGATTCCATCAGCTTGCTGTATATAGCTGTTCAAATTATACGTGATCAACCAAAAAAGCATCTGTTGCATCTTTCGGTGTCAATGACATAGCTTCCCCTGCACGACATGTAATTATGTTAAATCATGATTGTAACTTTTGCACATGTTTATGTGGCATTAAATCATAAAGCAAGTTAAAGCCTCAAGCTGTATGGGATAGAATTGTGTCAAATTTTGACGTAACCAAAATATCTAGACTGCTCTCTCTTTCAGAAATTGATTATTAGAATCGAATATAATGTAGCAAAATCATTACAACAGCGCTAAGACAAAATTACAAATGTTCTTTCTGTCAGACTGGACAGCAGAACTAAGTTCATCTGTATACATTTATATGTTCATAAAACAACGTGTTAACCTAGTTTCATGAAACGAATATCGACACTCGTTCTTCATCATGTTTATCCCCGCACAGATTTCAAACCCAAATCTTCTCATGATTCAAGTGGTTTACTTGGTCTAATCGATAGTGTGGATATTATTCAATGTTTGATACAATGAATGTAATCATGATTTAAATACAAATTTGAAATTCGATGAGTTTGAAGCACTATAATATTATAATAATTTTCAAAATAATCTGCCATATTTGGATAATATAATTATCCAGCCAATCTTTTCAGCTAAAATCTGCTATTAGAGCTTTTGCTCAATCACTAAATTGATGTTTCGTTTGACTTTTTAAAACATGATCTATTTCGCTGCCCTGCATAATCTATGATTTTCAGCTACAATGACTGTTTCAGCATTTGATAACGAAATTATTATTTTATATTTTATATTGGACATCAATGTACAAAATAATCTCGAATTTAATCAGAATCGTGGCTCGCAGAATTGCATGATGTTCTTGAAATTGAAAAGCTTGATCTTGAATAAAGCTAGATCTTGAAAATAAGTTGGATTATTTCAGGGGGCGGAGAGTCAGGGAAAAGTACGATCGTCAAGCAGATGAAAATCCTTCACATCAATGGTTTTACTGAAGAGTAAGTTAACATACAACTCCCCCTACTATTATCTCATGTCCCGTTGGTTTCGTGCATTCCTCCAGAAGTAATCCCACCATCAACTTATTATCAAGATTGTATTTATAGCTCAACGAGCTGAGAGCGATTATCTTATCCTGCATGTTATTACCGAAAATATTACCTATCTATTATTAGATCTCATACGTAGATTTTAACTTAATGCACGATATTTTGAGTTTCGTATGACGACGATCCGAAGATTGTAATTAATGTTTTTAACGTCTTGCATATGGAACAAGAGACACAACATGGTAGTAATAGCATTACTTAAGATAGTGCTCGTCCTGTGTAGACGGAGGTTAATAGTGCCAAAACGTGAACCTCATGATCTGCTGTTACTTTTATCTAACATTCCATGCTGTTCTTGTAGTTTTAAGTCAAACAACATAACTTCATTCCAGTTATAAGCTTGAGCCTGAGCTGAGTATGTACAGTATAATAATATGGATTGTTAAAGTTGGATTCAGAATAAATGGTGAAGATGTTGTGTAATGTGTATACAATTACATCCCTCTCTCTCTCTCTCTCTCTCTCTCTCTCTCGTGTGTCTTGAGGGTGTGATTTACTGTAATTTACAAAACTCTAAAACATTAGCACTTTATTAGAGTGTTAGTTATACACCCAGCTCCCTCCGAGACACGTGCATTGTTTTTATGCAGTGCACTTAAATAATGCGCACCGTATAATGTCAGTACACGCCACAGTGCACAATGTGCATGTGTTCTGTGCTAACCTTTTTTATTAAGCTAAAAAGTGTCCGCGTATGGTCGCAGGAGTGGTGCTAAACACATGCCAAACTGTGTATAAAAACTGTGCAGTCAGTCCAAAAATAGATACAATTTGCCATGTGCTCATCGATAGTACATATTGATGTATTTCAACTTCCACAGCGTGTGTTACCATCCGTGTGTGATATACACCTAAGTAACTTGGTATTTCATAATTGTACACAATTACTACTATAATTATTAATGAATTTCCATTTTATCGTCTATAATAAGTGCCCTTCCTGTTTCTGTTCATAAGACACGTACGGGTAAATACTTGACTCATTGCACATTATACAATAGTAACTATTATACAATAGTATCGTAATTAGTTCCTTGTGAGCTTAATATGAACTGTGGATAGTCATCATATTATATTATATATAGAATAAAATATAAATAATGACATTGTTAATGAACCAAAAGTGCCAATTTGGTGAAAATCACGAATCAGCAGGTACAAAAACTAACTTAAATGATAAAACCGCAACTTTTGATAACTGTTGATAACGATTCGCTTGTACACTATCCGTTGTAATCTTGCGCAATAATGTCGGTACACCTCTCCCTCAAGATGGTTAAAAGTTCATTACATTCAGATATATAGGTACTGATCTACTGAAAAATGAACTTCCCATCCACCAAACGTTTCGTATACGTATATCACATCGAATATGACAAGGTAACTGTTGAATGCAGCTGTAATGGTAGAATTTGTTTGGTCTGAGTAGAAAAGTTAACCTCTGTTATTCAACGCCACGATGTTGAATTTTAAAACTGAACAGATTGAATGTAAGACACACTCGGTCGTGTAATAAGCTAAGTGCACAGTGTACTAAGTAAAATAATACCTACCTGGATGGAGCACCTGGTAGCAACATGGCTATAATTAGAGATTAGAAAGTTGGGAATGTTAGCAGTGTTAGTAGCAGCAGATTAGAAAGTTGGGAATGTTAGCAGTGTTAGTAGCAGCAGATTAGAAAGTTGGGAATGTTAGCAGTGTTAGTAGCAGCAGATTAGAAAGTTGGGAATGTTAGCAGTGTTAGTAGCAGCAGATTAGAAAGTTGGGAATGTTAGCAGTGTTAGTAGCAGCAGATTAGAAAGTTGGGAATGTTAGCAGTGTTAGTAGCAGCAGATTAGAAAGTTGGGAATGTTAGCAATGTTAGTAGCAGCAGATTAGAAAGTTGGGAATGTTAGCAGTGTTAGTAGCAGCAGATTAGAAAGTTGGGAATGTTAGCAGTGTTAGTAGCAGCAGATTAGAAAGTTGGGAATGTTAGCAGTGTTAGTAGCAGATTAGAAAGTTGGGAATGTTAGCAGTGTTAGTAGCAGCAGATTAGACAGTTGGTAATGTTAGCAGTGTTAGTAGCAGATTAGAAAGTTGGGAATGCTAGCAGTGTTAGTAGCAGCAGATTAGAATGTTAGCAATGTTAGTAGCAGCAGATTAGAAAGTTGGGAATGTTAGCAGTGTTAGTAGCAGCAGATTAGAAAGTTGGGAATGTTAGCAGTGTTACTAGCAGCAGATTAGAAAGTTGGGAATGTTAGTAGTGTTAGTAGCAGCAGATTAGAAAGTAAGAAATGTTAGCAGTGTTAGTAGCAGCAGATTAGAAAGTTGGGAATGTTAGTAGCAGCAGATTAGAAAGTTGGGAATGTTAGCAGTGTTAGTAGCAGCAGATTAAAAAGTTGGGAATGTTCGCAGTTCTTGAGCGATAGAGAAACAGTTCTACATTCATCTGCTGTGTCTGTTTAAAATGAATTAGTTTTGGGATTAAAGATTGGCGAGAGGAAATACCTAGACATTTTCTCCTAACTTAGCTAGTGGGCTGTGTAGTATATAATATGAGCAGGTGGTAGTTGAGGTGAGATGTCTCTGCAGTGGACTCTGTTTGTGAAATGCACCACCAATCCTCCGTGTATTCAACCTCGACAGTAATTATAGTATGAGGTCATCTCGATTGCAAAACTCATCTGCATCATACAGGCAGTCGAGCACTCCCTAATGATTTGTGGAGGGCTATTTAATTATACACAAGCATTGTTGAGTGTCTGTATTATACGTACTAGACACACATTAATGACGTCTTAAGATTTGAATTTGTTGCAGAAATGAAATATGTAGTACCGCAAACGTAAACATCTTAACTTTTACAGAGAGAAGCGGGAAAAAGTTAACGTAATACGACAGAACGTGCGTGACGCTATCACGGTAAGTTTCGTGTATTTAAAGTTATAATATTACTGTAAGCCTCATACATCGATACATGATGATCTCGCAAGTGTTCAAAAGTTGATATATATAATATATATAATTGAGTATAATATGATGATCTGCATGCAGCCTGAGAGGACCGACTCACGGCTAACAGCTCATATTATAATGATACCATCCAGTGTAGCCGTTCACTGAGAACTCTCAATATTGGTCCCTATTTCTGTACGTGTAGGTATTACAACCTGCATCTGCCACATTATGATATATATGTGAGCTATTTATAGCAGGACACAACGGTCTAAAGTTCAACTTGCTAACGTATTGATTAATTACAAAGAGCTCTACCTTTTCAGAGTATATGCATGGCAATGGGTAGCATCGGATTAGAGCCGTCCGAGAGAATGAACGAACAAAGTCTTTCAGCTTACGAGTATATGATTAACATCCCCTCAGAGTTTGATTTTCCCCAGGTTAGTTTTTTAAGATAAGAATTATCAACTGTATAAATGACCCCACGTGACTTGTTGGTTGTGATGCCAGTATTCCTCTTGTTTTAGAGTTGTAAGGTGCAACTGACTGCAGGTGCTAATGAATACCATCGCTGCACTGCAGCTTTTCAGAGAGCTTTACAAATTTGATTGATCTGGAAAAGTAAGATTGTATTAATTAAAAGAGCAAGAGAGGATGTGTTTGTGTCTCACACGTGCACTGTACGTTAGTGTGACATAAAAACAACCTCCTCCTCCTCCCGGCCCTATACATTCGGTGTCAGACGTCTTTGGGAATGCCTGGCATCCAAAACACGTGTGCTATTCTTACTTAATTTTACGTAAGACACGTGCTATTTTTACTTTATTTTACGTAAAACACGTGCTATTTTTACTTTTTTCCCCCGTTTTTTGGGTGGGCAGCTAACATGCGTCATTGCAGGTGTTTTATGACAATGTAATCTTGTTATGGAACGACCCACTGATACAGGAATGTTACGATAGGTCAAATGAATATCAACTTATAGACAGCGCTAAATAGTAAGTTGTTTGTTCCAGAGTAACTTAAACTGTCAGCATCTATTTTTAGTGAAATAGTTTAGCCGTTATTGAATATAGTAAAATGGTGAGCTATTTTAAGCTGCAACATTCTGTATAACCACATGATTTACTTTCAGTTGAAGAATTCGAAAAATTTTGCTATGCATATTGCATAACAATAGTAATTTGTCCTTGATCATTGATGGTGTCACTCAATATTAGCTAACTTCGGGACATTTCAACTAACACTTAAGTTAAAGGATGATTTTCGAAATATGAGAACCCAAAGAATAGTTAAATGGACATTTATAAGAGTACCGATATAATTTTAAATATCAACTTTTCTAAACGACCATTTACTAAAGGCCATTTACAATCAAATACTACAAATTCTATCTAAAAACGACTCTGTTCGACGATGTTCCTTTAGTGTTGGTCGCTGGACTCCCTCCCCCTATATTATAGAGTTATAGCCAAACAGACATTGTAACGTTCTTTCGTTTCAGTTTCCTGGATAAAGTTAATGTTATCAGAAAAGATACATATGAACCTAGTGATCAGGTATTTATATATTTAATTGTATCCTTCAAAAAAACAGAATATTCACATTAATCTCCCACAATATTTGCAGCTGGTATACTGTAACTACTCATTCGATGATTCCGTCACAAAAATTTAACAATTCTATTTTTAGATGCCACACCCAATGACTCAATGAACATGGAATTGCTTATTGGGCCGCGAAAATGAACGTTTATTAAGAAAAAATGAACATTGAACATCGCCATTATTTGATTTGATATATTCCTGAAATGAGTGATAATAGCAAATCATACCAGAACGAATTGTTCCCCCTCGCCCCCCCCCCCCCCCCCCCCTCTACAATTACTTATTTAGTAATTAGCTTTCAGAGAATCTTGTTTCAAAGTTATGAAGGTTTCAGTAACGGTTTTGCTTTCATGGTCATATACTCCGTTCCTCTATATTTAGGTTCATCTTGTATTAAAGACCATCTATTATTGAAATGATGCGCCTAAATAAAAATAACTATATTTCTACTATATTATTAAGATCATGATAGTTACGTTATCAGTCTCCTTGTATTATGTATGTTACTGGTATACATACACTGGTATGTTACTGGTAAACATACACTGGTATGTTACTGGTATACATACATACACTGGTATGTTACTGGTAAACATACACTGGTATGTTACTGGTATACATACATACACTGGTATGTTACTGGTAAACATACACTGGTATGTTACTGGTATACATACATACACTGGTATGTTACTGGTAAACATACACTGGTATGTTACTGGTATACATACATACACTGACCGTATGTTACTGGTAAACATACACTGGTATGTTACTGGTATACATACATACACTGGTATGTTACTGGTATACATACAATATACATACACTGGTATGTTACTGGTATACATACATACACTGGTATGTTACTGGTATACATACATACACTGGTATGTTACTGGTATGTGCTGGTATTATGTATGTCGCTGGTATGTGGTGGTAGCCGTTTTATGATCGTTTTAAAGCCGTGTAACACATATTCTGTAGAAGTTAGAGAAACTGAGATATAATACTGTAAGTGAGACGTGTAATAAAACTCACACGGTCTCTTTCTCTGCAGCTGTACAATAACATGTGTTTTGTTGAGACTGTTGTTTTTTAAACAAGCCGACCAAACAGTGCAGGAATAGGGCACGTGAGTTTGATAATATGTTATACATATTAATGCAATACAAATATAATATGTTGAGGGCTGAGGATTGTAATAATGGCCAGCCTGTGGACTGTGTAGGTATTATAATCTTTGGTTGAGTACATTGGAATATCCCCTCCCTCCCTCCCTACCCGGGGTATAATTAGTATCACAGATCTATTTTTAGCGCGTCTCTCCCCACCAACCGTGTGTGAGCTGACCTATTTATAGCCGGCCTAACATTACTATTGGATTACTCTCCTTTAATTGTTTTACAGTAAATCACTGTCTAGTGTTACTCACGAGCACACCCAGGCCGGGTGTGTGTGTGTGTGTGTGTGTGTGTGTGTGTGTGTGTGTGTGTGTGTGTGTGTGTGTGTGTGTGTGTGTGTGTGTGTGTGTGTGTGTGTGTGTGTGTGTGTGTGTGTGTGTGTGTGTGTGTGTGTGTGTGTGTGTGTGTGTGGGGGGGGGGGGGGGGGGGGGGCGTGCATTTTCGGATTTGTGGCAAATGAGCCGTATGGCGTGTATGCGTAGGCCGTAGAAAAGGGGGTGTGTGCGTGCATGCGGGTGTTTTTGAATTTGTGTCAAATGAGTTGTATGTGTAGAAAAGTGCGTTTGAACGAGTGCAATGTGCATGTGCGGCGTGAGTGTGTCGGTGTGCTGCGTCCTTTTGTGTAGTGTGGTATTCTGAATTTAGCGGCCCCGGCCCTCCGAAGTCCGAACACCCTAATTATTTCTATAAATAAACCTCAAATATTTGACCGAAATATATCACTTATAAAATACTAATGACGGGATGGTGTCAGGAAATAAAAGCGCATATATTATATTGAATGGAGCTGGGTGCACTAGATAAGAGTGTTAGGTGTTATTAATGTGGTTAACAAATAAACCGGTACGTGGCCTGGACTGACTCAACACAGAGCACAGCTGCTGCTGCTAGTGAAATGGTCCGTTAGTAATAACCCAACCTGCTTTTCAATATTATTATTAACTTGTCCTCATCTCTGTGCTAAGCACCTGCAAATTGTAATTATCTTCTCCAAACCCACACGTTTATAGATCGCAAGTAAAATAAGCCCAGCTCTTGTTTGCAAGAAAGCAGACTTACTTACTCGGGCTGGTCCGTGTTTTAAGACACCAGCTCTCGGGTATTGCCTGCCCTCTAGGGCTACCCACACTTTCCTAACGGTGTTGAGTTTCAATAACATAAATTGTCCCTCCCTCTCCTCGATGCAATTATCAATCCGCACACTTTTCCAAGTCAGCGTGACGTCAGGGCCGAGTAGACCGTGTTGGTACACATGACGTCACACTATCACGCTAGTTCACGCTTTCTATTGGCAGCTCCCTCACTCCCGTCCCCCTCCTCCTCCACGCCAACATCTTTCTCTGGCAAATGTCCGGCAGCCCAGCTGCCGGCTTAAAATAACACCCGTGTCCTTGTTTTTGTTGCGTTACCATGGAAACTGAGTTTGTGATAAGTTGACGACACATTATTAGTAATATATAGGTGTGTGGTGGTAGTACGACCCTGATTGCGTAGGTGAGCAGTCAGGTGCGCTCTAGATTACCCAGTTTCAGGGCACCTCCCTAGGGCTAGGCTCCTAACTCTAATCGTAAAACTTATCCCCGCCCAGTCAGCTTTATATACGCAACATTATGGCCTGGTTTCGTCAAACATTTGGCTGCCTTCTATGGAATTCTGATAACCGCATAATACGACATACAGCGATACTTGTTTGTTGTCATATTCACATTTCAAGATTAATTACCAACATGCATCTAAACTTCAACAGATCATTACGTAATCAAAAGCGAAATCACGGATGATCGCATCGATTAAAACATAGTGACTGTATATTTTACGGTTATTGTGACACATTTTACCATATTTTACCATATTTTACGGTTATTTTACGAGGTTTTAACAATTAATATTTCAGGACGTGTTACGCTGTCGTGTGTTGACGTCAGGGATTCTAGAAACTAAATTTGAAGTAGATAAAGTTAATTTCCAGTGAGTCTCTTTTACCGTTAATTATTAGAAAATATCTTATTATCTTTACTGTGTTTCGCTGAATTTGATTAAAGTAGCGATGTAAGGGAGAAAGGGTTTGGTTAGCAGCGATGACATAACTCACATAACTCGAATACCTAAAGTTTACAATATCAAGATTTAAATCTAGATAAGACGTTGGAAAGTGTAGGAATATCGCTTAAATCACGTACGTTCGCCGTCCATGAACTCAAGCATGTTCATTATAAACAGAATATTGTGTCAATTAATTTTGTGTTACTTGACCTCATGATTTTAATTTTGATGCCAATTACATATTTTAGTAGTCAGAAGTGCTATTGTGAGTGACACGTGAACCACTCCACATTTTATTCTACTTTTCTTTTTAATGTGATCTGTAAATGTACACATGTATACTCCAGTGCTTGTATGCATACATTGTCTAAAACTATGTTACTATGATGGATCATAGTAAGTCTTTTGTTCTTCGAAAATGTTTCATCAAAAGGTCGAATATTTAACCGGAAATGACTGTTAAGACTTAAGATGTGGTAGGGAATAGTTAAGTTTCAACATTGTAAAATATAATGTAAATTATAAACCATACCATGTGTCTAGATACACTTTACATTACATAAATTCTGGCAACCCCGTATTATTCTACAATTAAGTTCTGGGTACCAAGCTTTTTAATACCATCACCGAATATACACCTCATTAGTTGCCTTGCGGGCATCCCAAACTTAACTTTCTACGTCAAATATCACCTGATTTCTGTAGTACATCATGTGCAATGAGAGCTGATCAGGCATCATCGGGTCAACTTGTAACAAATTGGCATCACGTCATGGGTTACAGACTAAGGAATGCCACAACGTTTTAACAAATGGTCATTATATCGTCTATTATTAAGTTATCAAATATCACGGACTCTCGGTTCCAGTAATCTCAAACTCTTTACCGTGGTAAAAATATGTAGCTCTCATCTCTTCTACAGAAATAGACACAAATCTACCGACCACTACCAACTTCACTGCAAACGAATGCAATTCTTACAGTGAGGTTTTTGCTTTTGATTTTTAAAACCACACGCACGTACGAATCTGCATACTGCTGTTTGATGGCTTTATTTTTAAGATTATGCTAAGGGGAAGTCAAAAGTCGTTTTAATATAATACGTGCTATCGATTATCGACCTTATAATAATTATTTCTGACAGAGGGAAGTGCTATCTTTGAACAGCTACGTTTGGTACCATGGAAACATAATGTTGTTCCTAACCAAAATTATCGCCTGTTAAAAGTCAGCACTTATGTGTAATTGTATTGCGCAAGCGAATTTCAATCACACGTCCTAAAAATCGATTCTAAAAATCTCCCCCTACAGTTTATTGACAGAATTTTGAGATAGGCCTTTTAAAAACTTTCATTCGATTTTGATGATTGTCATGAAGACCCTTACCAAAACCATGATATATCATATTCATAGCCTAATCGATACAGTAAATGTACGTACCAAGAAAATGTCATTTCTCTGTACAATTCAACTTTAGGTCATGACCATCGACCTAAATCCAAAATCCTGCCAAGCAAGCACATGCTGATAGTAGTTATTGATAAAAGAGGGGAGGCGTGGAGTACTCTCATGTTTGGCTTACAAAGTTCGTCTGCAAGTTCAGCACCTCACATTGTTCAGACCGATTCAACATTCTGCAACGCTCCTACAAGATAGCGACTCAATGCTTCTTCACAGATAGCACTCCGTGCTCCCTTGCAAATAGCATCTCAACAGTCAACGCTCCTTCATAATGCCGATCTGGCTTGTTGGCGAACCTTGTAATTGTCAGTGATTGACAAACGTGTAGAACCTGAATTAAAGATGAAGGGGACGCATTAAAAGCGATGGCAGCCCAAAACAGCCTCTTGTGTATAATGAAGTTCCAAACTCTAGATCACTCACAAACCTGCAAACAAAAAGAGGTATTTGCCGGTTATAAGTTGATTCTAAATTAAATGCTCAACGTGACAATAGATTTTTGCCAGGCATGCAACTCCAGTCCAATTTAGCTTAATTTGTGTGTTTCTAATTTGGTCCAGAGGGAAGACCTCTGGAGTACGTTGCTTCACTGCTAGATCACCCCAGCACTATTAAATATTAATGTACTGACAGCTAGATAACAGGTGTGATGTAAACGTTCGTTATCTGTGCCAAGTAACAAAAATAACGCATTTACTCTCGACTTGCACTGGTTTGTATGGGAAATAGTTGCCTGGAAAATTGGAACTTGGTCTGAACACTAACTAAAATGTTGTGAGGATGTTTGATTGAGGTGACCATTAGCGCATCATCATCATCATCATCATCATCATCATCATCATCATCACCATCATCATCTCGTGAAACTCACTATACACGGCAAGTAATATCATTATTATAATCATATTGTATGTAGTTACCCCCAGCCCACGACGCGTGTGTTATTTCCCACCAATCACAGGGCTGCATTGTGGTGTGTTGTCCAATCAGCTGACAGCATTACAGATACTATCCCAACGTGGCTCAAAGACAATGCGCGCTATTTATAGCCCAGGGCTAATAAGTCCAGCACTATTAATAGCCTTCGCCTCGACACATAATATGGCCAGCAGCTGCTGCTTAAGTATATACACATCTACACTCGACACACGCGCTATCGGACCAACTGTGCTGTTTGTACTGCCTCTAAGAGAGACTGCAATATTATCAAGTGTGGTGGTGGGGGGAGAGAGAGAGAGAGAGAGAGAGAGAGAGAGAGAGAGAGAGAGAGAGAGAGAGAGAGAGAGAGAGAGAGAGAGAGAGAGAGAGAGAGAGAGAGAGAGAGAGAGAGAGAGAGAGAGAGAGAGAGAGAGAGAGAGAGAGAGAGAGAGAGAGAGAGAGAGAGAGAGAGAGAGAGAGAGAGAGAGAGAGAGAGAGAGAGAGAGAGAAATATCTGTTTGCAGGACATTTTGGCGATTGAGCCAGTTTAGCGGATTGTTTCTACTAGCTCTAAATTTGTTTTCTCTCTGAATACAACGACAGACTATAACTCGAAGTAGTGCGTATTAATTGTGTCTAAAATTTAAAGAGTGTGCTGTGTACTAGTAATGTACTGGTGTCTAGCAGATAAGGATGTTGTACACTGCTCTACACGGTGTATCATACTCATACACACAACAACGCAATCCACTGTAATTCCTGTCATGCTTGTCGCTTGCGTAATTCTCTACATATTTCCTCGCCGCTATGACATGATATCTCCTCTGTCATGACGTGACTCATCCTGCTTACCAAGACATCGGGAGCACATGCCATCTTAAAAACCACCTCCGCTACAACAATACGTGCAGACATTAGACGAACTAAAAATAGCAGGTCTAATGCATGGTATTGTGTCCCAATTCACTGTAGCTGTGGAATGCGATAAAGAATGAATCTGTAGCAAGGTCTAACGTGATGTAATACAATTGTGATAATATTAGGCTCGAGGAAACCTGTGTAAAAAGGCACAGTAAACCTAGTTTCCATTACTGTTGATATTTCTCACTGCAATGATTTAACGAAGAAACGAATGACTTTAATTTATGGACCCAGGTCATAAAGTTCACAGCCCAGAAGTAACCCGAAACGTGCTGCAGGGTTTGCGCTGGGCTGTGAATTGAAATGTAAATATTAAATTTTTCTTGGATAGACAAGTCATTAAATCACCAGGTGATAGCATCATGGAATATAAGTGTAGGAAAGAGGAGCATTAAGTGATAGGATGATGAAGTATGAGTGCGGGAAGCATTAAATCCAGTGCCGTTTGAAATACCTAAACGAAGCAAACAGCAGATGAAGCAATTTTGTTGTACGTGAGCTAAATTTGTGCGGCATTTTCCAATTCACCTCTAAATTAACAGAACCATGTCAAACCTTGCAGCGTCTTGAAAATCTTCTGGGTTTGGGAAAACCATACCATCCTGCGAAAAAACGGTTCTGTCGACCACTTGTGAGGAACATTTAAACTCTATACTAAGTCGTACCGGGGTCGTACCCAGAGTTACGCTCCGTAAATAGTCCTTTGCCATTGAGGCTGAGTTCTTTTGAGCCTTTAGAAATTGGGTTTGCATGATTGATTATGATAGGTTAAATGAATTTTACCGGGGCAGTTTCATTGCCCTTGTAATCATTATACCATATTTGTATAATTATACTGGCATGTCTTATCCGGAATCGCATCTTGAGTAGTTAATTAGCGCGGATATATATCTATTCTGCTGACTCTATCAGTCTATTCTTAGTTCCATTATCCAATATCCAGCAAACTTTGTTAGCTTAGTTTCTGGAGAATAACTGTGTGGGGTCTTGTAGTAGTGGTCTTGTACACTGTAGTAGTTGTACTCAGTTCCGTGATCCAAGAAATGGTTGCCAGATACCAGGCGCGAGTATTTACAGTTTACACCACAACTGCGGTTTAAATAACTGCGCTCAGGGCTCTGGATCAAATCCTTTCTCAGCAAGGCCTGCCCAAATCTCGCCTTCTCCTAATGCGTTTTAATGCGTTAACAATTAGTGTTATGCATCGAAATATTTCACTCTATTGTTCTAGAATAATCGCCCATTATATTTAAGTAGTCGAGAAGTGGCTGGTTAATTAGCGTGCACGGCAGCCCCCTCATTAGCCCCCTGAGAGAGCGCTAGTAGCCTCTCCTCCTTCTTCTCTCTCCGGGCACTACATCTCATAATCTAGATGCATTGTTATAGCATAATACATGATAATATTATATATAAGGCTCTGTAATCAACTAAGGAGTAGTGATGTATTTATAGCTTACTTGAGAGAATGTGTATACTATATATACCCTCTCTCTCTCTCTCTCTCTCTCTCTCTCTCTCTCTCTCTCTCTCTCTCTCTCTCTCTCTCTCTCTCTCTCTCTCTCTCTCTCTCTCTCTCTCTGCTATATATACATGTAGTTACTACCGGGCGGGCTATTTATAGCCTCATGTAATGTTAGATAACAGATCCCTCCGCATGGAGTCCAGGCCATGTACACGTGAAACTATCCCCCGGGTCTGACTACATTTTACTTTCTATTTTACGGCAGAAAAATCAGCGTAATTACACTCTTAATAGTGTTGCATATAATAACGCGCTGCGTTCTAAGAGTCTCATCATGGAAGCTTATAGTGAGGTGATCCAGGGAGTGGGTACAAGGCGTGACAAATAAGAGGGAAATAATACAAAAGTTAGCCTGGTCCGTATCTAGTACATGAGATGATCTAATGTCTAGTATTTATTATAGAGGGTTCATTTTATCTGGTACTAGATATTGATATGGCTATTTGCCAGGATTGTATTAAGTTGGTCCTACATTTCTCATTACACCACCACCACCACTGTATTGTAAACCATCATGTTTAATATTGTGTGTACTGAACGTGTGTGTATAGTGTACAAGGTGTATTATATATCATAATACGGTATTGCAGTGTATAGTGGTGGAAGGAATGACGCACAATGGATGTGAACTGTGTGTGACACACAGATACAGTAAAACATCGATTAATAACCGTTGCACATAAAGTTCGGATTTTCATGCTTTGCGGCAATACAATTACACTGAGCTTAAAATTTTGGACCATCTTATTTCCGCCAATTTTCGATTGTGCCGGTATTAATTTGGTCAGGGGTTCGAAGTTTCACTGTAGATGGTTTATATAGATCCTCGTGTGGGCGCATCTCCTGGGGGTCCCATCTTGATCAATCACATGTTAGCAGCCACGTGACATCATTATGTAGTGCCATGGTGATGAGTGTTGTTCAGGACTTGTTGCCGTAGCAACGCCGTTCTTCAGACACAAGCCCTGAGAGCAGCTTTTTCCGAGTCAAATTTATCTTGAAATTTATTGATGGTGACAATTGAGAAGCGTTATATCACAACGGACTTGTGGAGCGAGCAGTGACGATAAGAAGATACCGTGATCAGATTGGAACAAATTGTTCGCCTATTTTGAAATTGCATTGTCAATTCTATTCAAAGAAAGTTCTGTCTATTTTTATCACTAATACCCGTACGATCCTCACCAAATATGGTCATATAACCTGAGCATGATGGACATTAAACAGCTTTAAAATTATAACGTTTTTCTCTGGAACCATTTTTGGTTATGATCCCTCACATAATCGATCCTTTGGTTGTTTCACTAGAAATGAATGTCTGTCAAATGACGATAGAAACTAATCGCTTTTTACCATAATTCGCGAATGCAACACAAATTGGGGTTCATGGTTAGAACCTTATTCTTAAGAATTAAAATTTACTATAGCTCATAGTGATTAGTACACTATTATAAAAACCAAATTCATATTGGGATATCAAATTTGGTTTATATAGGGCACTATTTAAAATATGTTAAATAGAGAACTAAACAATTAGGACTGTGAGCTCAGTGAGGATGACGTTGATTTGGCTCAACAGGAGATGTGTTTAACAGAGTCACAACTCACATACCAGTTTTATGTTTTTATTTATCCGTAGCGAGCTGCTACATCAGCCACATTTCATTAATACGGCCATAGACCAATATATTATTGCTATGGATGGGCCCTAAAATGAATTGGGGACTGGGTAGTGTGTACGAAAAGTAAATGATATATCATTATCCATTGAATTCTGAATAGATTGCTTGTAGTGGATTATTAAGTGAAAAACTTAATGAAAACACGATGTTTGTTTCTTCAACATGGATTCATTTCAGTATGTTCGATGTGGGAGGCCAGCGGGACGAGAGGAGAAAGTGGATCCAAGTATTTAACGACGTCACCGCTATAATATTCGTGGTGGCTTGTTCTAGCTATAACATGGTCCTCAGAGAGGATCCGTCCCAGGTAAGAGTGTTTTAATTTCTCTTCTAAACTATTTCACCATCACCAGGTTATTTACCGTCTTCATATACCTCTGATGGGCATCTGAAAAATTGTGCAATTTCTGTAACCCCACGACGTGCAAATTGGACTGAAATTTGTGACGCTTTAAATATAGAACAATATATCATCAAGTATATTGAGGATCCGTTTATAGACTTAATATGGAAGTGCGGGGTAGGTTATCCGTTTAGATCGTTTATACGTAGCAGGGTGTGGTAGTGAGGTACAAGTTCACTTACCCCGTATTGGTAAGTTTCAACATTGCCAAATTTCATAGTGGGCGGAATTAGAAATGATAATGAGACGCGTGGTTTCTTGGCATGTGAAATACATACTAAATAGGGTAGAATATCTGCGTTATACGATCAAAACTAAATAGAGTTGTGAAGGGGTGGGGTATGTGTCGCTATTTCGTGAATTACTTATTTTGTTCACTAGGTAATGAATACATTGCGAAACTAGAAGTTAATGGCGAAAATTTCGATGATATTTTTAAAATTCAGAAATGTCACGAACAGTTAATTATATGATGAAATGAAATGAAATGAAATAAAGCATTTATATCCCGCTTATATCAACAACCAATATTATTAAAAACAAAAATTGCCGACTTCAAAGCGGCTGGCGTGGTGACAAAAGTGATAATTTAAACTCCAGAATGCATGTATATTGGGCATTAAATGTAAAGTGTAAAATGGCCAAAGAAATATGTAATATCTATATTATTGAATAAGAAATAAACTATTATATCTCACTCATCTATCTCACAAATTTTTTTTGTAGGATTTTCCGTGACCTTCTTCTTCAAATCTAGAACCAGCTGTTTATGTACTGCACGCTCCTCCGGTGACCGATCCGGTGAAATAAAGACAGTTTTGAAACACTGAGACAGTCTAAGTTCTTTAGCTTTGATCAGTATCTGATGAACGGTCAACGGTGCTGGAGCTTCCAAATGATACTTTAACAGCTCTATATTTGTCAGCAGCTTTATTCCCAATTCGAGCAGCTTCAAAACGTGGCTTCTCTGCCATTTGTTCAAACACGTCGCAAATTTTATCAGCAAGTTTCTCACCTGCATCCTCCTTGAGACCAAAAATCAACACATTTCTGCTGCGATCCTCTTCAGCTACCACATTCTGAACTACTTTCTTAAAGTTCTCTGCCGTGAAAGTGGAGGCAGAGCTGTGGGAATGTTTTGACACAGCAGCACTGTCAAGACTTAATCTCAGCTTGAACAGTATTTTCTACAGCGGTTTTAACAGTTCTCTGGACTGAATCTAGCTCTTTAGTCTTTATGTCCAAGAGTTCAGCTTGCAACTGAATAACTGATTTCTGAGCATTAATCATGTCACTTCTCATTTCCTCCAGTTTTATTGTCGCTTTTCGAAAGCATTCCTTATATCCAACAATTCCCTTAAAGGCATCAAAAAGGTGCTTTACTAAAACGTCCTTGTTTGGTTTCTTGAACTTGTCTAATGTAATATGACTATCTTCATCACAGTTTATTGTCTTCATCACTTTCTCAGCCCAACAACCAAGATCATTAGCAGAATCAGCAACATGTCCATATATTTACATGACCACATTGTAGAGTCCACATTTCCCATAATGTACTCAGAATTGTATAGCACCAGACACAAACTAGCAGCTAAGTCGTCGTTAAATTGTAGCGATAAGAGATGGGATAAGAGAGCTCAATAATCAACGCGTAACAAAACTACACTAACAAATGATGAAGAAAGTGGGGAAAAAAACAAATGATGATGAAAATCTAAAATATATGGCTACATTCTACAATGAGCATTTTAATAACAATATTAATTCAATCCTATAATGTGCCATGTAATAATATTAAAACCGTTATATTTATCTACTTAACAAACTTCTTATCGGTCATGTAATCCGGAAAATGTGTTGCTGTTAATACATAAGCAGCGTTATCAACCCAGTTATAATAACAAATTTGAAAATTGGGGGACCAAATTTTTAATTGTCTATCCATCACAATCTGATGAGTCAGTTGTTACTGGTGACACTTATCCTAGTATGCCCTATATGATGCGGTAAAAGTGGTCTGGGCTTCTTTTCCTTTTTCTTATTAGTAAATTATAGAGTTTTATCTGAACCGAAGAAATTGTACCATGCTGAATAGATGTGATATTATGGGATTAATACCATTCAAAATATGAAAATATCTTATAATTGAAGGAACTACAAAGCGCTAAATCTTTTAATACAACGACAAATTTCGAGTCAGAATCATGAATTTTATTGATCTCGCCATTTCAATCATGGTCGAGTTCAGCAGCCAATCTTGTAGATCCTCAGACAAGTGTCTAGATCAAAGCTAAATAATGGATTGAAACTGGCCTAAAACATTTATTCTAACCGGTTTAATTTAGGCGTGAAAACATAACTGTAACTCTTATTTTTCGTTATTTTCATAACACGGTTGAGTTTAAAATCAATGAATTGGATTATAATCCGGTACCTGTGATTTTCAAACCATCAGCCTAATGCATGAACTGTCTGCTGATGCCTTGGAATGTTGCCAAAACTTTTTTTGGAGATGATTATGATTATATGTAGCATTGTATTTCCATTTCATAGTCGTCACAATTTGGATGCGTTCAAGGACTGAGAGATATCGTTTCAAAAAATAACCCGGTTTCATTTCAGAACCGTTTACGAGAAGCGCTCTCTCTATTCGAAAATATTTGGAACAACAGGTATTATTAACAAATGCTTATCATAGCACTTCCGTTTGCTGCGCACTTGGCAATGTTTCTTTATCTTTTATTTTAGTTCGCTGAGCAGTAGAGACGGTCCGAATATTCGAAAATAGAGATGTATTAGACGTCAAACGCAGCACATAGTAACCTATACTAAGCTTATGCATAACTTTCGCGCGCACGTGTGAATATATTGCTTGATTGGATTCTTGTCAATCGAAATCGGCCAGAATCGAAATGATCATGATATGATGGACAATGATCCTAATCGGGAGGGAAAGAAACAACAATAGGGAACGTTGAGAATCCAGATCCCATTCATGATAGTTTCTTTGTTGTTTTAATTTGCTACAAAACTTGCTAAGCTTTAGTAATCTCAATATATTACCAGGTGGTTGCGCCAGATATCTGTAATATTGTTCCTCAACAAACAAGACTTGCTATATGAGAAGATAATGAGTGGTAAATCTAGGCTAGAAGACTATTTTTCTAACTTTGCCAGCTACCCCATGCCATCTGAAAATGCCTCCAGAAGTAAGTTACCCGCTTATTTCTTGTGAATTTAAAATTTGCTGCAATTTTCCTATATCCTTTTGACAGAAAATTATCATAATTTACTCTGCAACTAAAGAAGGTCTAAATTTATTTTTTATTGTACATATTTTCAGTTAAAGGCGCTGACCATGAGGATGAAATGTTCATTCGAGCAAAACATTTCTTAAGAGACGAGTTTCTTGTGAGTATACTTCCACTTCCAATAATTCCCTTAATATCGGTCTTTAGCACTGTATTCTGTATTCTCGTTCCCTCTCCATATTACTAACTTTTTCTCTGCTTTTTACCCAATTAACTGACCTTGCGCCCTCCCACAGCATATCAGCACGGCTTCCGGAGAGGGCAGACATTATTGTTATCCTCACTTTACCACGGCTGTGGACACTAAGAACATAGAACGGGTATTTGCGGATTGTCGGGACATTATTCAGCGAATACACCTGCGACAATACGAACTACTGTGAGGCCGGGCTACACTCACCCGGCCGGTACCAGTAACTTGTAACATAGTGTATAAAGTAACGGTAGTTCGCATATCATGTGGGATTGCCGACAGCAAACAAAGATTTCAGTGGAAATGATATAGCAGCCATTAGAACCAAACACCCGGCAGCAGTAGCTGTGAGGCGAGTGAGCTTGTCTGTCGTGTCGGGGGTCTGTGTGACGTAATACGTTGAGCTGTGACGTCACCACACTTTCTAGGAGAGAACAGCGTTGCCTGGCAACAGACTAATGTTGTACACTGTTAAATGTACAATGTTTCTTAGTATAATATGTACACAATTGTAGATTGTTATCAGTTTATGTTGGTAACATACGTATACAGTTTAAATGTTTACTATTAACATCTTTCTTAATTTGTTTTCTTACATTAATTAAGTAATTAAGTATAATTAAAACCTAACCGTCAGACACCCAGTGCCTAATTTCGTTGTTATAATTTTAAGGGATTTTATTTTAACTTAACTGCCTGGACCAGAATTTGTAATGATTGTTGAAAATTTTCCTCGATTTCATATCACAGGAGAATTTGGACGGAATTTTGGTTGCTAGGTGTATTTTGATGGTCCTAGTTTTCAATTAATAGCTAATATAAATGGTTTTCACCTGACACATACAACACCATATATGGGCATGTTTTGGATTTCAACAGGATCATCTACCCAAATTGACCCCGGTTATGAAAACGCGAAACTTTTGCAAATCTTCAACCGTACATTACATCGTGTCGTTGTTCGTAGATGATCCTTATTAAGGGAAACACTTCTTGCCTTCAAACACTAGTTCTTTCATAAGGGATGGTACGCTAATTGTTTTTATGTTTTATTTTTAGTTTAAAGATTTTATGTAGACTATTTAATTATTAAATGACCTGGCTACTCGAGATCATCACAAATTTAACACATAATACGATTTTAATGTGACACTTTTTGATTGACTTGTGCTGTTAATGCCAATGCTCGCAAGATGCCTAATGATTGCATTCCTGATGCGATATAAGTTTAAAAGGAGAGGAGTATGGGGCTCTTGTTGTGATATCGAATGACTAGGACTGGCTTCTACATCGATAACATAGTTTCAGTTCTCGGGCTCACTCAATTTTATTCACTATTTAACTTCTCTGCCCCCGATATACAATTCATAGCTTAGTCTGGTCAATTTCATTTCATTTCATCTTCATGGAAACGCTTTGCACTTACCCAATTCTCTTCACGGTTGATCAATGATCATGCATCAAGAGAAACTTCCCCAACTTCTACTGATGATGCACCATGCTTTTGACTTCACATTATCCATCAACTTAACGTGCTATCCTGTGAACCATTGCCAATTTTTGTCAACCACCAGGCCCGTTTTAAGAAACTGGATGCAAACTTACGTAATATGAGTCTTATTGTTCAGAGAGATGTTTCCGTTGTAAAGTGTGGTGTGAGTTTAAGGGTAGTAATGCTAGCATTAGGATTAGAATTAGTATTATATTTGATACGCAGAATCTTGATTTTCTTTGTCCCTCTAGTCATGCAGTGCAGTACTATACCTGCCATTAGACGTATAATAAATTTTTGTTAATTCTTTAAAGTTCAATGACAGATTTCAATACTTACGATGATTTTCAATTGTCTCCTTACCAAATTCAATTACCTGCAAATCTTAATCGTAAATATAACTTGAAAACATACTCAAAGGGCTCAAATCACACTACTGTAACTGGACGGTATCGCGATTCGCGGGTGAGGTTTTTAAAATCGAGAATTTTGAAGTTTGACTTCGACTGAGTGATTTACCCACACTTAGCTCGTACTATAGTTCGGTATTCACTGCGGTAGTTCGACCCGTTAAGTGACAAGAGATCACATTTGTTTAAATTCCGTTCACGACACAAATTATCTATCCAGGATATAATTCCTTGCCTTATATCATTTACATGTATTCCTACATGACGCGTGCGGCTATCAGTACACAAGTCTCGCAGATATATAGTGATAGTCCAAGAAGGGTGGAACAAAACGGATTCAGGGTTGTCTAACTACATCATAGTCATGTTCATACCTCTCGTTTACAGCTATACCGTCCAGTTTGCGGTAACTAACTTGACATGTGCTGCATTTCATTTTGCAGTATTATATAGAATCAAATTAAATGCCAAACAATTGACAATGTGAATGACACGCGTAATACGTATAGTACCTATCATTTGCGTTGCAGACAATTCTGTAACAGGTGCACCCATCACCTGCTTTGCCAATTCTATAAGGTATAACTATAATTGCAATAAGGAAGTTGGCCTAATTTGACTTTTGAGTTTCAGCTAGTTAATAGGATTTTGAATAGTCACACTTAACTAGTTCATAGTTATCTAGGGCCACCTATATAACGAATTAAAGTAATACAAGTCACGCAATAGTCGAGTGTTTACGAACATTAAACCTTGGGGTCCGGTCCCCAAGTTAAAAGTTGTTAGTTTAGTCGTTTGGCCGGCCTCCATAATTAATTTTGCGCAACGCTAAATATGTAGTTTATGGCCTGATTTACCTAGCTCGCCAGCCACCACACCCTCTGTATCACGTCGTGGGCTCTTACTAATTCGCTCGCCCAAAAATTTCACGTGACTTTGGTTTTTATGGTTTTGCAGCCGTACAAAACGGTTTTACATGATGCTACGTCATGGGGGGTGATTCGGAATCAGCGTCCAAAAATACACTTACATGTGTCATGTAGCTAGAAAGCTTCCCAGCAAACCCTACCTTGGAGCGCTTCGACGCGCCGCGCAAACTAGCATTCTTGCAACAATCTGACAAGATCGTTGCCCTGCTTCGCAGAGCAACGATCTGGAATGTGGAAGGGTTGACACCGTCAATCAAACCCTACCGGCTAGGCTGGGGTAAATCTCCAAAAGTAAAATAAATAGAACCTTCCGGTTTTCAACGAAATTTCCGTCTCGTAAATTTATTACGGGCGGCGCTCAGCCTGTCATTCCGCCTAATCTCTATTCATATGTTTATAAACATAATCAATAATAGCCTGAGGTCCCCAGGTAATAGCTAACGGCTAACCTGGAGAGCTTTTGTGTTCATGAAAAATGACGCAATGACTTGACGGATGTTACTCGTCTAAATTTTGTCGAAGTAGCGCGCTCCGCATTTAATTGACGATGTCAATTCATGGCAGCTCGGCGCGGCACCGTAGCGCATCTCGCCGATCTAGCTGTCGCTGTGAGAAGCCTAATTAAGTGCGCGGCGCGGCACAGTAACGCATCGCGCTACAAGCTCCGCATTTCTTGGAGGACTTCGCCGCTTCGACGCGCCGCGCAAACTAGCATTCTTGCTTCGCATCGAAGCATCGTCGACGATCGTTGCTCTGCTTCGCAGAGCAACGATCTCGACGGATTGACATCGTCAATCAACGCATTTCTTTTCGAAATGTTTAGCCCGATGTTTTAGCAGCTCGGCGAAGCCCAATTAAATGGTGCATTTTGCCGATCTACGGAAGAGAAGATGAAACCCTACCGGCTGGGGTATATCTCCAAAAGTAAAATAAATAGAACCATCCGGCCTTTTCAACAAAATTTCCGGCTCGTAAATTTAAAGTACGCTCCCCAGGAGCCAAATTTGAGACAACTTAGATTCTGAATTAAACTTGACCATTGTTAACGGTCTGACCCGGCGCGCGCTACTTCGTAGCACTTGCAATTTCGAGAAGAAAGCGGCGCGCGCTACTTCGAAGAAATTTAGACGAGTAACATCCGTCAAAATTAAACCGAAAAGTTTTATTTGGGCTAAATAAAAGATCACAGCTTTTAAACTTTGCAAAGTAATGTCGTTGTCATGACTACTGGCTAAATGCAGCGCGTGCGAAAGGTAAACTTGACGTGACGCGCGACGACAAACGTGCTGTTGAAAATCGATAACCTCTAGCGAGCCCAGCAGGCGGTAAGGTTTCCTGGGTATGCGCGGCGCGGCCCAGCTAGTAGTGCGAGAAGATGCGCGGCGCGGCTCAGTAGTGCTTCGCGCTACAACATACAAATTTTGACCGTTCTGTGTATGTACTGTACATTTGTAAATGCTGTTTTTGGTTTCAATGGTAAGTCTTTTAAGTTAAGTTGCACAAATTTGTACTTCAAATCTTTAAATTATCATCAACTTTAACTTTAAATATTTGTCATTAAAAATGTACACAGAACCGTTCAAATCTAATCTTATGATTGCCCCATTTCTTTCTATAATAATTATTAATATTAATGGACGATGTCAATTCATCGCAGCTTGGCGAGGCCATAGGCCCAGTAGCTCATCTCGCCGATGGTTGCGAGAAGCATAATTGAGTGCGCGGCATTGTACATGACAATTGCGATCCCCAAATAATTTATTATTTGCAATTTAATTTGATACAAGTCTGAAGTCGTTTTTATTTCGTGAAAAATAAAATTGCAACATCAAACATGTGGCATAATTTTAAATAAAAAATTAAGTAGCGACAATTTTAAAATGCGTTGAACATATTAATAAATGTTATCATTATCAAAAACATAAATTGACAATGAAGGAAAATGATTGCCACGCCGCACACAACAGAATCATTTTAGAATCGAGTGCTATCACTGTATTCTCGGAATCTCCAAATCAAATCAAATCAAAATATAATGACACAAACATCATCACACATCATCAAAAATATATCTACTAAAGTTTAAAAATTATCTTAAATCTATTGGCCTAGACAACCAAGTTAAAATGAATATAATTTACATACTTTCCAATAAATTATTTACACAGATGGAAGTTTGTTCAAAGGACTGTGCCCCACATCTCTGAAGCCATGGAGCCGCTAGAACATGAGATAAGACAAAAGCTCCTGCCAAAGATGCTGGGCAGGGAGATCTCAGACTTAGAAAGAGACGTGTTAAGTCTACTAATAAGATTGGGAGGATTGGGCATTGGTAAACCCCACGAAGAATGCCACTCTGAGTATACAGCCTCAAAGCTACTCACCACTGAGCTAACAAAAGCAATAGTGGACCAACAGCTACAGGAAGTTTACACTGCATCCAGTAACCTCACCAAATCGGGGAAAGAAATGATCAAAACATTGAAGAATTCCGAGCTCCAAGCCAAGTTTATTGCTATAGCTGAAAGATGTGGCACCTCCTCTAAGAGAGCATTACTAGCAGCAAGAGAAAAGGGAGCGTCCAGTTGGCTTAACACATTGCCACTTCAGCAGTATGGCTACACTCTGAACAAAGAGGAGTTTCGAGACAGTGTCTGCTTACGCTACAGTTGGTGGATACCAAACACTCCCATCACCTGTGGATGTGGGAAAACAAGTGATCTTGACCACCTTCTCACCTGTAAGCTAGGGGGCTACGTGATAATGACCCACAACAACATCAGAGACACAATGGCAAATCTCCTTCGTGAGGTATGTCATGATGTAAAAGTTGAACCCCAGCTACAGAAGGTAAATGAGGGTGACTGCCTCAACCCCAAGACTATAACAGGTGACCAAGCTCGGCTTGATGTATCTGCTAGAGGAGTTTGGACTCCATTTGATAAGACCTTTCTTGACATAAGGGTTTCACACCCCAATTGCTTATCAAACAGGACAAAAACTCTTCAAGAAGTATACGAAGAGAACGAGAAGGAGAAGAAGGACGAGTACTTGGAGAGAGTGTTGAATGTGGAGAAGGCTACCTTCACCCCGGCTGTATTCCTCACATCTGGAGGAATGTCTAAAGAGTGTAAGCAGTTCGTCAACAGAGTAGCAGACCTCATTGCAAGAAAAAGGAAGGAAAGATACTGCGATGTAGTAAGACACGTGAGAATAGGATAAGATTTGCAATGTTGAGAACAACTCTTATTGCTCTACGAGGGTACCGAGGAAAGAAGGTGGACACCAAACGTGAGATTCAGCTATCAGAAGTTTCATACAACCTCATCCCTGCCCCTATAATGGAGTAGATCATGTGTTTTGTTAAAATGTTTTTGAAAAATTTATTGGTAGCAATGAATTGTGCTCTGCCAATTGCAACACTTAAAATTTTATTGTGCTCTGCCAATTGCATCACTTGATTTAATTGAATGTATATATACTGTTTGACACAATTATTTATTAAAAGATACCCCTTTATCATAAATGCTTGATGAGTGTTTGTTGGGTCATGGGTGGATTCTTAAATTGCTTGTTTCAGTAATGTGAGCATTCAAATTGTCAAGTTGAGGGATTTTAATTTCCAATATTATGCTACATTAAATATTACAAAGAGGGTTTTTTGCAAATTGTACCCTGATTTTTTCTGTTTTGTTAGATTAGTTGTTAGGTGTTAGTATAGTGGTGTCTACTCTAGCCTTGTGGCTGGAAAGTACCATTGCTGGAATGTGTGACCATTATTTGACTATTTATTATATCTATTATATAAATGTGGTTTAATTTGTTTTTAAAGTCACTCAAACGAATGTACGGTTTTTGATTTTTAAAAAATTGGTTTCTATGTTATTGTGGGTTTCTTACCAGCTGGACAATAGATGTGGATACTGGCGAGGAGGTGATAATTGTTTGTTTACATTAATAGTGAGCACATGTTAAGCAGGCTGAGGAGGTGATAATTGT